CAAGCAATTACATACCCATTTGTATAATAATGTGACACAGAATTTTAGAAGGCATACACTGTGGAAATGAATTTTTTACATTTGCTACATATTACGTAGTCTTAGCGTCCCAAGTATGTATATTGTAAAAAATACTGCAAAAAAAGCGTTTTTCTCTGTTATTGGTTAAAAGTATATATCACAGACTAAAAGAAATACTGTAAAACTAAACAGAATTTCTCAAAGTGTGATTATATTTTATTATTTACGGTGGCACAGATGTGACAGTATCTCTCAATCGCAACTACTCGGCCCTTTGATAAGGACCTCGAACACAATAGTAAGAATACACATACACAGAACGGATGCGGTATTTCGGTCTTATATATGCTAAGAAACTAAACATGTAAACAAATAGTAATGTAATTCTGGGAGTTGTTGACAAGTTTATTTCCAATATATCAAGTAAAAGTCCACCTAAAATAAGTGAATTTATAGATATAAAAGCGAACAAAACATTATCTATATATTTATTATTATGTTTGTAGAACCCGTAAGTGTTTTAAGTCGGTTTTGTTTAAAACTGTACATCAGTGGCAAAATTTAAATTAAAAATGGTTTTAAGACATATTTTCAATCATCATTGTACCGAAACATACTTTATTTTCCTTTATATGTCAAATATATATACATTCGTTTTACATTATTTGAGATTTCACTCTCTGTTTCTGTTTACATCTGAATCCACGTGGTAGAACTACTTTCAATCCGTATTGTTTCCGATGTTATTATATATAATAGTCGAGGCAGTTCCGAATGAGTATCTCTTTCCCACAACGTACCTATCTCGTGGCCAAGACTAAGTAGCTCGTGACAACGACTTAGTAACTCGCGACCACGACATAGTATCTCGTGCTCACGAGATAAATAAAAACACACACATGTCACCATTGTGGCACCATAGTTATTCGCCTTAGTAGAAACTCATTAAAATCCTTAATATCTAACGGAGTATTTCAGAGGTTTATCCATCCATTCATCCATCCATTTATTTATTTATTTATTTATTTATTTATTTATTTATTTATTTATTTACTTATTCTACAAGTGTCTGATCCAAACATTGTTAGACTTATGGGCCAAATGTCTATTTTAGATATACACAATGTGTAGCTATTTTTTCAAATTCAGCGACTGATTTATTAATCTCTAATACATCAGGATTCCACAGGATATTATTTCTATACTGCTGATGAGAGACCCCACAAAAATATATATAAGCATAAAATGTCTCACGGCATATGATTTTATCGTTAATATATAGGAATAATATCTAATACACAGAAGTATATTACCTAAAATATGATCATAAAATTAGCACCTTCAAAAGCAATTTAGCAGTCTGAGATTGCGACTTGGTGACTCATTGAACTTAAATGGAACATTGTGCTAAGGAGCAATTTCAAATGCGCAGAAACGGTCCTTTGTGGATTGACGATTAAATTTAATCTTGCTTGTTAGGTCTGTATCGCTTTTACATTTTGTCAATAAAAATACTGTTGCAAATTAAGAGGAAACTGGCGTTATTATCTGTAAGATAATTAATTTAGCATACGATCACGGATGTTGTGTCATTTATTTTGAAGCATTAACATACATTTACAATTGAGATTTTATTGAAGAAGCGTTGTGCGAATGCTATTAATTTTGCATCGATGATAGCAACGGCTGCTATAATGATTAAAAAACGTAAAGAAAGAAATGAACTTTAGCTCCATAATTTAGCAATTATAATTGTTAAAACAATATTACTGAGTCATTTTCATTCACTGGAAAGTAAATGATTTGATGTACTTGGCATATTAGCATTCCGCATTGCTGTTTGGCAATGCGATTTATTCTTTTAAATATGAATATAACTTTGATCCTTGTCATCAAAATCATAGAATTTGAGAATCAAGATAAGGGATCAGTTAAAAATGTATATACAACAATGATTCTTCAATAAAAGATAGATATTTTTAGATATACTAAGTTCTCTATATCGTGATTGTGTATTATTCTCTTAATGAAAAGAATGTTTGATTTACTGCTAATTTCCAATTTTCAAAAACAAATGTGCCCCAAAAGTACAGGCAAATTTTGTCATTCAAATTTAAAGAAAATACAATTAGAAATTTAACAAAAACTACTTTGTGATAAAAATATTATACATGTACATATATATCTTTATTAATTGACAAAAATGTCACGACAAGAGCATTATTGTTTGATGAAATAAAGCCAAATAGTCGTGTTTATAAGTGTGGAAAGTATGTGATAAGAATAACACACTAAGTTGGGTCACAAATTCATCAAATAAAAAGCTTTTCTTATCAATCAATCAATTCTTTGGTACTGCGCGAAGTTGACATGTACTGAATTGATGTAAGACTAAGTGTTCTTCACTGTAGGTTACTTATGAATAAATCATATACAATTTCGAGTATTAACATATGTTCTATTTACAAAGTGCTGCTAGATATACATCCTAAATAGCTACTGTTTCTATACTTTATTTTAATTCTCAAAAGTTATTCTTTTCAGTTCTATACAATTTCTCACTGGCCAAGTAACTGAACCATTTTTGCTTCTGTTGCTGTTTTTGCAAAAAGTACAGTTATATAGTGATTTAGTATTACGTATGGAAGTCAAAATATTAGTGACAAATAATTTCTCATTCAGCGTTAATTATTTCAGGTGATAAACATCTAACATATTCTTTAACTGTAAATTCAAAATTATTAAATTTACGTTAACTTTGTCCTTTTTAAAGAAGGTAAAAATATTTGTTTCTGGGGCATAGTTTGCCTGTAAATAGAGTAAACAGTATTGAGTACACCTCTACACCTCTACACATCAATACATAAAGTATGGAATCGAATCTCAGCAATTCAAAAACAAATATATGCAGGTATATAAATAATAATACACAATATATATAAAATTAAACATACGATATTTTAGACTAGACAACACTCAAATCATCATTGTCGTAGTTTTCTTCTCATTCCATCACTGCATAATTATTTTGTTAAGTTATTTTCATTTTGTGACATAAACCTGTCCTTTTGGGCAAATTTTAATTCGTTTTTTAATCCTTACCAAGTTTAATATCTTACATAAATGGACTTTTCTATCTTTTGTACCATTCATTTTTAGGGAATTTTCAAATATATACTGACTGAATAGCGAGTAAAGTAGACTATAATCAGTTGACATGGATGTGCCGGTTTATATTGGTCTACACTGGTCAAATGGCGTCAGCAGACTAAGGTAAAAGTAATTGTTATTTTATATTTTTATGGAAGACGTCATTTGTCTTAAGTTTACATGGCGCTCACAAATTAAAAATTCCAGTTTTTAGAATTATATGAAAATAAAGCATCATTATAAAATCTATCTTTTTAAACCAAAGAAAACAGTGTTTAGGAATATATCTCCCCGAGCACGTATTGAGTTTGTTCTGTGAAACGCTCAAAATGTAATGCCCTAACATAAATATTCCAGTTGCACTTCCGACCATAGCAGTAAATTTCTTTCAAAGTAAAAAAAATAAATAAACTATATATAATTCAATTATATTGCATTGTTCTTTGTAAGCACTTATGATGTATATTAACTAAAAATGTGTTATATTTTCTTAAAGATTTATTTATAAGCGTTTTCGAAAATAGGCTATTTTCGCGAAATTAAGATTGTGGTCGCGAAGAAGACATCTTCTATTAAAAATAAATTTATATTGATAGAGCCTGTCAAATATGTATGTCCCATAAACGTCAAATGTTTGTCAAAAAGTTTGTGAGTCAAAAATCTCAAGAAGGTTAATATTTTTTTACACAGGCAAATAATAGAAAATTATAAAATATTAAAATCAAGGGGATGAGACATGTTTAATGCTTAAATGTGACTGCACATAACTGCTTTTTGGTAGGGAGAAAGTGAAGCGAGATGGTTGTTGTTGTTTTGGTTTTATTTATACTGGGCGCTGGTTTCCCATATGTCCCAGACTATCGGCCTCTATTACGATTGCTGGTCGTAGAGCCTGCAACGGAGGACTTAATTCGCCTGCAACGTCGTCGATATCGTAGAGCCGCGACGGAGGTCTTTTCATGCTGTCGTTCGTCGTAGGCCTTCTCTAGGACCCAATTCCTCGCTTCTTGAACAATGGTTGACAATAGAGGAAAGGCACCTCTTCCGGGAGCAGCAGCTCTCTTTAGGGCCACACCCTTCGCCGTTGGTTAGGTCACACCAGCTAAGTGACCTAACGAGGTCACCCATCTGGTGTGACCTATATCTTCCGAGCGACGTGCACGCCGCGAAGATGGGGTGACTGAAGAATAATTTATAATAGTCTGAAGTAACTGTAAATAACCTATAGCTCATGGTATGACCATTGTTTGATGATCGGGAGGTGGGGGTCAAGTAGTTTTCGATGAAAAGCAACCAGTATCTGGAAGAATAACAAATAACCTAGCTTCCATAAATAGGTTTGAGGTCTAATTTAATCTACAGAGATTAAAAAAGTCGAAAAATCCGTGACGCTAGATGTGTAATGATAATCTAGCTTAATAACATAAAATAAAAATTAAATCTAACTCATCTGAATTACTAAACAATCTTTTCCACGGACAGAAAATGTCAATTTCGTAAGCAGGAAGTCATTTCCGCATAACCAATTTCGTTATTTTCGTACGCTTCTTTGTGCAATAATTGGAGCAAAAAGGTACTGTACTTTCTTTGCAATTTTTATTTGAAAGACCCTGGTCATAGGTAGCACCTGATTTCATACAAGAAAATAACTTGAATCTCCTCTATATCTTTAAGACATATTATAACAGTATACATTCAAACTGTAATGTGAAAGACTGTTAAGTTTCTTTTTATGAACAAGTTATATGATTTAGTACTATGTATCCGAAAGATTTTACTTTTAGTTTTGTGGGACCTAAAATTGAAAATTTAGTTTTACTCAACCTTAAAAACTAACTGGACGGAAGCGGAAATGTACTTGGGTTCCGGTTCCTGTCATATATCACCTGACTCGGAAGTGAAAATAGAAATAACTCCCAATTGTATTATTTTGGTAAGATTATTCTGACGTGCGATAATAAATCTTTTACAAGTGTTCTTTTACGGTTTTAACTTTGCAAAAGTATTCTATTTATCATTAAATTTTGTTTAGAGGAAAATATGTTAATTTTTTGGAAGCAATTTAATTTTTTGATAAACAAGATAAACAGTTCATTGAACATTCCATATTGACATTGTCACTTGAGGCACTTGTTTTCATATATTTCAGTTTTGTTGTATATTTTTAGGTGTTACTGCAATAAACATTTGTCTTGGACCCGAACCCATTAACCTCAAGATAAGTCATACCTTGAAGCGGTTGTATATTGACTGAGCTGTCTCACATGCTTGGGGGTCAGATTCTGTCCCCTACCTGATACGCCCCTGTGAAAACTATCAAAACTATTTTAATATTTAAACACATGTGACATCTATTACAAAGTTAAAACTGGTTTTCAGCAATTTTTACATATAATGATATATGAAAAAAATACAGTATAGTATACCATCAAGTCTGCAATCTTTACTTTATTGAGACTAGATGGTGTGTGTGTTAACGGTATTTTTTTTCATCTATGTAAACATTTTTTGAAGACAAGTTTTATCGATGTTACATGTAATAGATGCCCCATTCATGTTTATATATTAAAAAAGTTTTGATAGAGTGTTTACATGGGCCAGTGATTTTTCTCGCTTAATTGGGAAGAAGCCTTAGCCTCTTGATTTTGGGAAAAATTATCGCTAAAATTGCTAATTTGGGAAGAAAAAAGCATGTTTCAGTTCAGATTTTTGGGAAAACTGCATGATTTTAAAGAAAATTTCAATTGGGAAGAGGCCCTTTTTCGGAGTCTGTTATATAAGTAGGAAAATCACTGATGGGCATATCACGTTGGGGGCAGGATCTGACCCACAAGCGTCTGTGAGCTGTCTGACATCTTTTCCCATAATATAGGGAAGTCAAAGCTGGGGCAGCAAAGCAGGCCCGGGCTTTGGCGTGCCCGACTATGGTCTACACATGTATATTCAAAAGGAAATTAAATTTAAAAAAAATATTAAGAAATAAATATAGCATTGTATATATATCAATGAATTTTCAGTATCATTTCATGTTGGGCACGGTAATGCAATTATAATTCCAATAATAAACCAAATAAACTATTAGACTTAAAAGGTTACAATAATGGCGAAGGTATTCTGATTGAAATTGAAGGGTAATCTGGTTCCCTGTCCTACTATGGTTTCATTCAAGATGAAGTGTGATGGGGCCAGCCTAAATGGAAGCGGTACATAAAATTAGATTGGATTCTTTTGTTTCCTTGAATTATGAAGAGTAGGCACAAAACCGTATCCTCAGTAGATCTATCTTTCCTTACTTCAGACCATGCTTCACTCATATCTAGGTTGATTCCACTAGAAATGTTTCAACAAAATATATCATGGCTCTTGTTTAACATTCACTACAACATTATGCATTGTTAATATTTTCAGACATTTCATCAGTGTATAACGATCAAAGATGGGAGCGCTGTTTCGCAGCGAGGAGATGACCCTGTGTCAGCTCTTCCTGCAGTCAGAGGCTGCCTATGCCTGTGTGTCAGAACTTGGTGAGCTTGGACTTGTGCAGTTTAAAGATGTAAGTTTATAGATTAACGATCTATATGTTATAATAAATAGTAGATGTCTGCCTCTCAGCTCAAGTATCATGGCTTTAAGATAGTCTAGTCACAACCTGGATTTCTCATATATGACATCAGAACTGATAAGTTTCAGGAAGTGGACTCAAGTGTGGTTCAAATAAGCTTCAAAGTTTCTTAAAAATTCCAGCTAAAAGGGACTAGAATAAAAAAATTTTAACTGTTAAGTTAACTGCATCCAAGAATTTGAGTTTAGCAATTAATGTGTTTCAGTTTGATTATAAGGCTCTTACACTGGCTATCAGTACGGTCCAAAATATCTAACTCAAGTGTAATTGCTTACAGTGGTGACGAGGCTCTGTAGAGTTTCTGCTTAACAGTTACCCTAGAGCTAGATATTCCTGTCTGTGACGACAGCTGGTGTTTGATTCTTTTTTTTGCATATTACAAATTAATGATATTTTGAAAAGAAGCTGTGTAAACTAATATTTTCATTTAGCATTTATTTCTTATAGTAGCATATGAATTTTTAACTATGTTCATAACGGCACAGTGGCATCATCCTAAGAATGCAATTCATTCATAAAAAGAGTGCGACATGGCATCAATCATACATGTGGCTAGTCTTAATGGGGCAATCCCAGTCATTGTGTTAATTTTCTACTATTGTTTAAATGCATTGATTGTTTAATGAGGTGTTATTGTAATGTAAGACTGTATGAATATTTTATTTAGCTAAATCCTGAAGTGAATGCTTTCCAAAGGAAGTTTGTCAATGAAATAATGAGGTGTGAGGAAATGGAAAGAAAATTGAGTAAGTCTCATCTCATAATTCCACCAACCAAAAATTGTCAGATAGATATTTTAGTCATGATAACTCTATTAATAATCAACTAGTTAAAATTCTTTGAAATGAACTATTTGTCATGTAAAAGTTAAGGAGTAATCATATTTGTTGCATTTTAGTAACCAGATTTTCAATATTGAAGGTGCTCAGTTTTGTAAATATATTCATTGTTTGCCAATTAATGTCAAACCCATAATGGGGGGGGGGGGGACCTAGACAGGCACTTTAAGTTGCACAAGACAACAGTTTTACTATTTCTTGGATGTTATAACTGGGATTGAGGATGTCAAAAGATAATGTCAACATTGTTGTGATTCAAAGCTAGAATATCAGTGTTCTGCCCCTACACCTTTCCCTCAACAAGATTGTATGATGTAATTAAAAAGTAATTTGCAGTGTCAACCTTATTGTTTCCGTTCAATTATACATGCATTTAAACCAAATAAAAGTGTGAATACATTTACACAGATGCTATCATGTCAGTAATTATATTTTAGGGTATATTGAGAAAGAGCTAAAGAAGGACAAGCTAAATATACCGGACTCTGACTCTAATCCGAAAGCTCCGGCACCGAAAGAAATGGTAGATCTGGAGGTATGAAAAATATTTTCTTTAAAACATAAACTTAATCTTTGACTACATTGAAAAGTTTGCTGTTTATAGATTAACATGTACAAACGTTAGTATCAATGTTGCATTACATATTTGACTTGTGCCATGTTTGATTATATCTAACATATGGAAAGGATAAGTTTCAAAACTTTTATGTTCATTTAGATATTTACTAAGCTCACCAGATTACATAGTGCTGAAGATTATCTAACCCTCTGTCTGTCCACACCTTTCTTGAACCATATCTTTTCCAAAACCAATGGCCAATATTATCAAAATGCCTTCAGAATTTTGCTAGGGTGATCCTCTTTATGTATAGAATACTTACAAAAATAAACAGTATCTGACATTTAAGTCAACATATAAATTTTTCTTTAAAATTAGAATTTCTTTCCTTGTACATTTCTTTCCTTGTACATAAAGAACAAAATGATATGAAATTTTATATTTTTTAGGCAACATTTGAAAAAATAGAGTCAGAGTTACGTGAGGTAAACACCAATGCCGAAGCTTTGAAACGTAATTTCCTCGAACTAACAGAGTTGCAGCAAGTCTTGATAAAAACACAGACATTCTTCAGAGAGGTACGTGAAAATATGACATTTATCTTATCATTGCTAGAGAGATATCAGTGTTGTTACTGTCCCTGTAAATGATGCTTACCAATCAGGGCTAGTCATGTATATACTCTAGATGAAGAGGTGATAGTTTTGTTGATGCAGACAGCAGTAATTGTTGATGCAGACAGAGTAAATTTGTGTAAAATTTGCATAAAATTTACTCCTTATCCCTGAACCTGCTGAAATTTCAAATTGCCGGTCTTTATCTTTTGGGACTGCTCATTTTCAATTTTGGGGGTATATCAAGAGGAAAATTGAAAGGAAATCAGCCAACAGTTTAGAGCCTGATCCAAGGTAGTAAAAAATTCTAAGCTCAAACTTTGATGCTGGGTATTTTATTGGTTAGAAACTAGTGCAGAATTTATATTGACCAATGAAAATCCTGAGATTGAAGACACACCTCATAAAAAAGATTTGTACATCAAGGTCAGGCCTAGCTCTATGCTTCTGGCAAGGAGGGTAAGGGTTAAAGAATATTATAATGTTAGTATTGCTTATCACTGCCAGGTTGGAGTTAAATGCTAAGGGATTAAAAAAAAAAATCTGTTTAAACATTTTTAAAAGTGACAAAATTGATTTTTCTACAGTATTGACATTACTTGATTTTATTAAATCTGTCTTTATACTTGTCTCCAAAGGATAGAGAAAACTTGTTGGAATTTGTTACTATAATTGTAATAAGAAATATGAAAAAGAAATTATGAGATATATATTGTGTGTAATGCATAAATACAGTGAAATAGATTTTAAGTTGGTTATTATTTTAACAGCAAGATTACCAGCTTGAGGTAGGTTCACACACATATATACACACATGGTGTATTCTGCTGTCTTGTTAATTTATGGCTCTGTTCTAACAAACCATTTGAGCCGTGTCATGACAAAATCAACTTAGTGCGTTTGCGACCAGCATGGATCCAGACCAGCCTGTGCATCCGCGCAGTTTGATCAGGATCCATGCTGTTCGCTATCAGTTTCTCTACTTGTTATAGGGTTGGTAAGCGAACAGCATGGATCCTGATCAGACTGCGCGGATGCGCAGGCTGGTCTGGATCCATGCTGGTCGCAAAACCATTTTGTTGGTTTTGTCATGACACGGCTCATTTCATCTATTAATCTCAGAAAAAGTTAGCTTCTCTTCAGTTTAAAGTTTAATTTTAAGTGTAGTATATTCTATGTGTATTTTAAATTTCTCATATTTTATTCATTTTGTGTCCTAATTTCTTGTTTATTTGTGTTTCTTTTTTTTTGTGTGTGCAGATTTGCTTATTTATTAATCAAATGACAATTTAAGACATAATCATTTCTGTGACAATTGTTGGTAAATGGCAAGTTTAGCTTTTTTTTCTTTTTTTAACAGTCAGTAGTACTTTAGTTAATGCAAAGTCAATATTTCTAGCTGAGAGCCAATTACAGCCTGAAATAATACACATAGCAGCTGTGGTGGTCTAGCTCCTTACAATAATGTTGTAAGTTAACTACATGACCTTTAATAGTGTTGGTTTGACTTAAAATCCAACTTAATAAGTTTCTACTTGCTAACTTTAAATTTCTTGACCATTACCTCTGTCCATTGTCCTAGTTGTAGGACACACTGTCCTTGTTTCAGGACATACTGTCCTTGTCACAGGACACATACAATGCATTATTGTTTTATTAACCAGGTTTTCCGAAGGAAAAAACTGGTTATTAGATTGAGATATGTCGGCGGGCGGGCGGCGGGCGGGCGGACGGGCGGGCGGGCGTAAACAATTTCTTCTGTGCGCAACTCCTCCTACATTTCTCAACGGATTTTGACCAAACTTTCACAGAAGCTTTGTCATCAAGTGCCCTGGCGCATATTGTCGGGGTTTTGCGATTAGATAATATTTGACCTAATTATGGCCCTTTGTTTTTTTTCCTTATATAGAATATATAGTGAACAATTTCTTCTGTGCGCAACTCCTCCTACATTTCTCAACGGATTTTGACCAAACTTTCACAGAAGCTTTGTCATCAAGTGCCCTGGCACATATTGTCGGGGTTTTGCGATTAGATAATATTTGACCTAATTATGGCCCTTTGTTTTTTTTTCCTTATATAGAATATATAGTGAACAATTTCTTCTGTGCGCAACTCCTCCTACATTTCTCAACGGATTTTGACCAAACTTTCTCAGAAGCTTTGTCATCAAGTGCCCTGACACATATTGTCAGGGTTTTGCAATTGGTATATATTGGACCTAATTATGGCCCTTTGTTTTTTTCATTATAGAGAATATTATAGTGAACAATTTCTTCTGTGCGCAACTCCTCCTACATTTCTCAAGGGATTTTGACCAAACTTTCTTAGAAGCTTTGTTATCAAGTGCCTGGCACATATTGTCGGGGTTTTGTGATTGGATAATATTTTACCGAATTATGGCCCTTTGTGTATTTTTTCCTTATACAGAATATAATGGTGAACAATTTCTACAGTGCGCAACTTCTCCTACATTTCTCAAGGGATTTTGACCAAACTTTCACAGAAGCTTTGTCATCAAGTGCCATAGCACATATTGTCGGGGTTTTGTGATTAGATAATTTTTTACCTAATTATGGCCCTTTGTTTTTTTCCTTATACAGAATATATATAGTGAACACTTCTTCTCTGCGCAATTCTGTGCGCAACTCCTACAATTCTCTAGGGATTTTGACAAAACTCTCGCAGAAGCTTTTTATCAACTCTTGCTGCATGTTGTCAGGGTTATGAGATTTGATAATGTTTGACCTAATTATTGCCATTTATTTTTTTCCCTTATATAGAAATATATTGTTTTTGTTCCATATATAGAATATAAAGTGAACAAATTCTTATTTGCACACCTCTTCCTACAAACTATTTTGACAAACTTTCACAGAAGCTTTCTCATCAAGAGTCCTTGTGCATATCATCTGGGTTTTGTGATTTTGGGTGGGCGGGCGGGTGTTCACTTTAAAACAAATGCCCCTGCATGACGAAGCTTCTGTGAAATATTTTGCTGAAAACCTGGTTGCATCGCATTGCGATGTTCCTTGTTTGCAATGATAGGTCGCTAGCCCAAAATACAAACAATAAGGAATGAAACATTTAACAATGTAGTGCATGATTGCAGTGTTATACAAGTATATATTATGGCTATGCTGAAAAATTAATTATAGAAGAAAATGTTTAACATTCAAAGGACAAATATGTAATTGAAACATTGAAGTAAAGAGATTTATTTATAGTTACATAATTAAGCATTTAATCTTACTGACTGCTTTCTGTATCCTTAACATGTGTATTTATGTTTACAATATTCAACAGTACCTTCACTAATCAATATACCATTCAATATTATCTTTCAAAGTTAAGCAGAGATCATTATATAACCAGTGGTATCTATATACTAAAGTAAACAAAGAAATATTGGTATATTCCTATAATGTTCATTACTGCTATGAGCTTTGAATGTGCTTTCTTCATTAACAAATCTTGTTATTTATGAAAATGTGTATGTCGTAACATATCAAAGATTATTCTCAGTGTTTTCTGATTCATTTTGAAGCTTTACTTTTTATATGTGGGAGCATATAGCGTTGCACTTGTCCGTCCGTCAGTCCGTCCGTACGTCCCGAAATCTTGTGAACGCAACTCCTCTTAAACCGGATGGCAGATTTTGCTTAAACTTACAGGGATGAACAACCTTAATGTGTAGATGGCAGTAAAGGAAGGAATTTTCGCTGCGACCAAATTTAACAGAATTATGGCCCTTTGTTGATTTTTTCACTAGATACTATGTAGAAATTTTGTGAACGCAACTCCTCTTAAACCGGATGGCAGATTTTGCTTAAACTTACAGGGATGAACAACCTTAATGTGTAGATGGCAGTAAAGGAAGGAATTTTCGCTGAGACCAAATTTTACAGAATTATGGCCCTTTGTTGATTTTTTCACTATATACTATGTAGAAATTTTGTGAATGCAACTCCTCTTAAACCAGATGGCAGATTTTGCTTAAACTTCCAGGGATGAACAACCTTAATGTGTAGATGTCAGTAAAGGAAGGAATTTTTCCTGCAACCAAATTTAACAGAATTATGGCCCTTTGTTGATTTTTTCATTATATACTATGTAGAAATTTTGTGAACGCAACTCCTCTTAAACCGGATGGCAGATTTTGCTTAAACTTCCAGGGATTAACAACCTTAATGTGTAGATGGTAGTAAAGGAAGGAATTTTTGCTGCGACCAAATTTAACAGAATTATGGCCCTTTGTTGATTTATAGTTTTCAACTTGTGGCACATGTAGTCCAAAAAATATTTGACCTAGAGTGATAAGATTGACAGAACAGTGGCGTGTTGGGGCATCCGTGTCCTATGGACACATTTCTAGTTTGAATAGTATTTGTTGAAATGTGTTGGGGATGCCTGGTATAATTACAACAGTCAGTCAGCCTGCCTATTTATGAAGTGTGACAAATCTCTATTCTATTGGTGGCGTCTCAGTTTTAAAGTTTTGTCTATTTTAGAAATTTCATCTTGAAATCCATTGTTATCTATGCATACATGTGGTTTAAAGTTCAAAACAGTGCAAGTTCATCACACAAAATTTTTTAAGTTTATGAAAGTTTTGAAGAATAATATTATAGAAAAAGTAATGTCGCAAACAGTGCATATTTGTCAACATTTGGAAGCAAATGTCTGATAAAGTCTTTGCTTGATATCTTTATATTTGTTCACACAAATAGACGTATTAAAATAAGCTTTTATTGTATATCTTTAAGTTAGTCGTCCAAGTGGAGAAAGTATTTTGAAACTTCTCTTCAAGTTGGTCACAGTATAAAAGTTTTTACATATTGTTCTATCAATTGGACTGTATATTTATAAATGTCACTTCAGATTTTAATATTATTCTTTCAAATTTGAGAATATTCTGAAATTACACTAATTAAACTAATCCTACAGACTTGCTCAATTAAATCCAATATGGCCGCCATTTTAACCAATACTTATGGCATGTTACTGTATACTTTAAACTGGAGTATATTTGGAAATTAATGCAGTCTGTTTGAACATACTTTTATAATGCACTGTCCTATAAGGTAATCTTTCCTTTATTTTATATTATTTGCAGTTGAGTCAATTTTTTAGTTTATCATTAAAAAGATATTTATCATATTGGTTACTTAGTAATATGTGATTTAGTTATTATAGTGGTTTTTTCATGTCTTGCATATGATTGACCTTTTCAACCTGTGTGTTTGCTTTCAACTAACAGTCTTAGTATATCATAGGTAGAATATTAAAAAAAAATTTAACATCTTGTGTATTTCCATGGAACTGTAAAATATAAAAATTTAGTAATATATTAAATGTACTATTTTTTATTCAATATAGATACATAGTTCTCCATTCAAAACAGCATAAGTTATCATAAATTATAATGATAAGAATAAGTTGATGTTGTTGTTTCATATAAATACAAATACATGACCATGTAGATTACAAATTGTCTGTTATAAAATAACTAATTTGAAGGAAAAGGTTTTTGATTAGTTAAGTTACTTTTACCCATTTCTTTGTCTTTTAAATGGGTTTGCTAAGTAAGTACATGTAGAATAGCAGAATTAAATACATAATGTAAATAATTTAATATTAAGTCTTGTTCCTATTAAACCCTATGTAGAGCTAGCTCCTTGTAAATCGTGAACATTAATGTTTATAGTAATGATAAAATGTGTTATTAATTTACATTACAGCAAGGTCATGGACATCACAGCATTGTAGATGATGCTCAGCATGCACTTGTAGCTGATGAGAGGATGGGAACCTCAGTACAACTAGGGTATGTTTACAGCTGGCACATTCTCTTTTTGCTTCCCAAGGGAGAGCATATAGTCGCCACCTTGTCCGTCTGTCCGTCCGTTGTCTTGTCCGGAGCATAACTTGAAAACCCTTAGAGAAAATTTGTTTAAGCTTCACACAGTGGTAGAGGGCATTGAGGGGGAGTGCAGTGTCAAAGAACCATAACTCTTTTTTTGCCCCGTTTTTGAAGTTATTGAAAAATCTTGTCCGGGACATAACTCTAAAACTATAAGAGATATCAACATGAAACTTATAGGTAAAAAGATCTCAATGGGTAGATGTGCAGTGCACAAGAACCATCATAACTCTTTTTTACCTAATTTTGAGGTTATTGTCCTTTGTTCATTTTAACACTTTGAACTTTGTCTGGAACATAACTCTTACATTATAAGAGATTTCAACATGAAACATTGTAGGTAGATAGATCTCATTGAGAAGAAGTGCAGTGAAAAAGAACCATAACTCTTTATCTCCCCTTAAAAATTTTGTCCAGGACTTAGCTGTTAAATAATAAGAAATATCTACATGAAACTTTGTAGGTAGATAGATCTCAATGGGTAGATGTGCAGTGCTTAAGAATCGTAACTCTGCCTTGCCTAATTTTGGAGTTATTGCCCTTTGTTTATTTTTACTTTTTGAACTTTGTCTGGGACATTACTCTAAAATTATAAGAGATATCAACATGAAACTTTGTTGGTAGATAAATCTCATTGAGTAAAAGTGCAGTACGAAAAAAACATAACTCTGTTTTGCCCCATTTTTGAATTATCTCCCCTTTTAAAAACATCTTGTCTAGGAAATAACTCGAAAACTATAAGAGATATCAACATGAAACTTTGTAGGTAGATAGATCTCAATGAGTAGATGTGCAGTGCACAAAACTTGAACTCCACCTTGCCAAATTTTGTAGTTATTGCCCTTTGTTCATTTTTACATTTTGAACTTAAATAAGAAATTTATTGTGTATTTTCTCTAAACTGAATTAATAGTATCAGAATATTTTTGATTTCATGTCAAAGTGTTTGGTATGAATATAAGGTGATTGCCTTATTCTAACAGTTTTAGTATGAGGTGATTTGGTATTATAAAACGTAAGTTGATATTGCAGGTTTATGGCAGGTGTAATCCCTAGAGAGAAGGTGCCTGCCTTCGAAAGAATGCTGTGGTTTGCTTGCCGTGGTAACGTGTTTCTGCGATATGAAGAAATCAATATGCCACTAGAAGACCCACATACAGTAAGCCATTTGTAACTGCCATTTTAATTTTGAATACATTTTTTATGTGTTCTGAATTTAGCCTGCAATTTAGCATTGATGCTTTTTATGATCATAATTTTCTGCTATATCTTGCCCTGTGATAAGCCTTTTGTCACCAGTATAGAGTAAGGCTAGCCTGTTTATAATGAGCGGTGCCATGACAAAATCAACATAATGGGTTTGCAACCAGCATGGATCCAGACCAGCTTGCGCATCTGCGCAGTCTGATCAGGATCCATGCTGTTCGCTTACCAACCCTATTACAAGTAGAGAAACTGATAGCGAACAGCATGGATCCTGATCAGACTGCGCGAATGCTCAGGCTGGTCTGGATCCATGCTGGTCGCAAACGCACTATGTTGGTTTTGTCATGACGCGGCTCATATGTGGCCTGGCAAGTATCGTTGGCTGATTAACTTACTTACTTTTAGCTGAACTATTCGAGGAATAGGGAGATCTATTTTACACATCCATGTGTTGGTGTCACACTGGTTAAGTTTCTACATTTGAGTTGGTTTTACTGATTTTTTACTACCAAAGGGAATGGGTTGAAATACCACAAACTTATATTTGAGCATAATAGCAGGTCATTTTCAAAGGCCCTCAACTTTAACATGGATTTTGACAGAATTATGACCCTTCTTGAAATTGTACATAATCCAGGCTCTTGTTTTACTATCAAGCACTGAGAATAATGGATCATGCTGTAATAACATCAGCTCTGTTCAGCTTAATATTCTTCAAATTGATAATGATCAGTTCTAAAAATAAAAGCTAGACAAGTCAATGTATAAAAAATTAGGCATATAAAAGGTTAATTAAGCCTAGAAAGCATTTAACAATGATGCTGTCAATCAAAATGTCAGGGACACTGTATCATTGTTTTTGCATTGCAGGGTGATGCTATACACAAGGGAGTGTTCATCATATTTTTCCAGGGAGATCAACTCAAACAGAGGGTCAGAAAAATCTGTGAAGGGTAAGAGCCTTAAATGTTAAGTGTTTAAAGTTTTTCTTTACTGTAATTGTTCCTTTACAGAGCATGTGCAATGTCCTGTGTCATGGTATATTCAACCTATCTCTTCTGTTAGCCTTATACTTTTGAATAAATCTTGGAAAAGATAAGAGTGCCCTCTGTGGTCAAGGAGTTAAGTTGCCAACTTCAAACCACTTGCCCCTCATTGCTGAATCTAATCATGACCCTTGAATTTTTTCGAGTGAGGAAGCTATGAACCTGGATTATACAAGGTCACTGGTTCTACTCAAGTGCCTATCGCCTGAAAAAAAAATGCATAGAGGGGACCAGAGCTCTTTTTCCACCACATAAGCTGAAAAGTTGCTACGTGACTATAGTGTTGGTGTGACTTGAAACTCAAACAAAAAGGAAAAAAGAGGAAAATAAAGAAATAAGATTAGATATAAAACAAAGACAAAGAATTCAAATTTGGAATGAAAATTGGAAGAAATGCAGGGTTTTTTTTCATTTTGTGTCTCATTTTGTGTTTTATTTTGTGTTTGTTTTGTTGCATGTAGATTTCGTGCCACCCTGTACCCATGCCCAGAGAGTTCTCAAGAGAGACAAGAAATGTTGAATGGAGTTAGCACAAGGCTTCAGGATCTTAATATTGTATGTAGTTTGTTAACTGTTCTGTTTATTGGCCTCATTTACTTTATATAGAACTTTAGTCTGTTTATTGGCCTCATTTAATTTATATAGAACTTTAGTCTGTTTATTGGCCTCATTTAGTTTATATAGAACTTTAGTCTGTTTATTGGCCTCATTTAGTTTATATAGAACTTTAGTCTGTTTATTGGCCTCATTTAGTTTATATAGAACTTTAGTCTGTTTATTGGCCTCATTTAGTTTATATAGAACTTTAGTCTGTTTATTGGCCTCATTTAGTTTATATAGAACTTTAGTCTGTTTATTGGCCTCATTTAGTTTATATAGAAATTTAGTCTGTTTATTGGCCTCATTCAGTTTATATAGAACTTTAGTCTGTTTATTGGCCTCCTTAAGTTTATGCAGAACTTAATGAGATTAAATAAGTGTTGATGTCTCTTTTAATATTTGTAACAATTTTATGTCAAATGTCTATTTCATCGAAAATGACCCTACAGAAACCCATAAAAATAAAAGTAATGCATTGCTTATTTTTACCCTGTTTTTATTCTTCTTTTACCCTGTTTTATCCTTCTTTGACAGGTTCTAAAGCAGACGAAGGAGCACCGTTACCGAGTCTTGTTAAATGCCCAGAAAGAAATACACAACTGGATTATCAAAGTGAAGAAGATCAAGGCTATCTATCACACATTGAACATGTGTAACTTTGATTTCTCACGAAACAACCTGATAGCAGAGTGCTGGGCTCCGGTCAAGGTTCTGGAAGAAGTACAATCCGCCCTACGCCACGGACAGGTACAACTTATATTTAGCTAGCAATGAACTTGCTGAATATATGTAATGGAATTGCCCTGCTTTGAATTTGAAAGAGTCCCAAGTTTAAGGGATTTTAATATGAAAAAAATTGAGTAACTTAAAGAACTTGGTCAGACTACGACTGCATGGATGTGAAGGCCTGTCTGGCTCTAAAGTGGTGGCCAATGCTAATCACTTACCGTTCTAGTAGGGAAATGGTTAAGTGATTACTAGGGACAAGAATTTGAATAAATTATTGTAATCTGTAATATTTTTTACATGCAATCCTAAAAAGTCTAAAATTTTAATGAAGCCCTGTGTAACGCAAGCAGGTGTCAAGCTTTTTATGATTCTTTTTACAAATAATTTTAAGTTAAATTTGATATACCCTGTATTTGATTTTGTATCTGAAAAATCAACACTATGTATGTTCAGTTGTTCACAAATGCAGAACTTTTAGTTGAAAACTTTGAAAGTCATTGTATATAAGCAGGGCTCACACTGGCTCAAATAAGATAATAGCCAATATTTTTAACTTAAAAAAATAATAGCCAAAAGTTCAGCGGACTATTCACGATTTAGCGATTAACAACATATTAAGCAGCTGATTAAATAAACATTCCATATAAAACTTTTTCAAGGATTTTCAAATAAACTGATACATACAATATTGATAACTACCTTTTTTACATAGAACCACAACTTTGATTGCTATTATAGAACATGTTATATAGTATAATTACTGTATAACAATAATTATAACTTTACATAATGCTGTTATCAGACAATATCTTTTGTGTGTTCTAATCAAATTTTGTCAGCTATAACCACTGTCAATTTCCACATTTCACACAGAACTGCTTTTACTGGAGTAGATCTAGGTATATAAATAACACTTGCAAACTCATTCACAGAATGCAGCCTTTTTTCTGAATAACTTACTAAAAAATGTCATCATCACCAATGTAATACAAATTTTCTGCCATAATAATTAAGATTTTTAAACAGAACATATCTTATTTTCACCTTTAAATAAATATCAAAATTATCGGTGTCGCGAAATCATGTGACAATCAGTTTTTTTCCTGTTTTCTGAAGAAATATTCACAATTTTGGTTGTTGTGCAAATAGTTGTTTGTAAGTTAATACTTTTTAAATATTTTATCATTGTTTTCCACTGGCGATTTAGTCAAGCAGCTTAAAACAAAAAAAATCAAAATTTGCAATTTACGGTAAATTTTTGGTTGGTCAATATCCAGATTATCAATTTTAAGACAATTTTTGTGACTAATTGACGGATATTTGATGGCTATTATAGTGCTGGACAATATCTATAGAATTTTCCATCTCGCATGTATTTTTATCACCTCGGGCAATATCATAAGTAAGCAGCGCGTGACCGATTAAAAGTTGACACTCAATTAAATCCACCCCGCTGGTGTTAATTGGGTCTACTACATTCTTTATCGATTTTTACACCTTATATAAACACTGTTGGAAGTAAAAAATAATCTCCAGATTTTGTAGCCAAAATGCAAAAATAATCGCCAATCTTATAAAATAATCGCAAATGGCGACTATGGCGACCGACAGCGTGAGCCCTGATATAAGTCTTTATTAGATGAATACAAAAAACCATTGTTTTTAAAGTGCATTATTAACCTATTATCCATTTTATTTCTTCATTGTTTAAAAACTACTTTGTTTTGTTTAACAGGAGTTAAGTGGTAGTAATGTACCCAACATTTTGCACCGGATGGTAACTAAGGAGACGCCACCAACCTACTTCATGACTAACAGGTTCACCAAGGTGTTCCAGAGTATTGTTAATGCTTATGGTGTTGCCACATACCGGGAAGTCAACCCAGGTCAGCGAATTTGGGGTGTTTTGGCTAAAAAATATATAAAAGCAGTTTTGAACATAATTTCCTTATTAAGTAAATTCATTGAAATATATTGATCATGCTTCTGTACACAAACACTTGGTGTGTAAAGCTCAAAACACCTTTAAAATCCAAATAAATTATATATTTGTCAATCCCAGCACATGTACTGATCATATATATAAAAAAATCTTAATATGAGCCATTTTGAAAAAAAATCATATTTTAATGTCTAATTAAACACAAGATAAAAATGTTTGTCGGAAAAAGTCCGCACACCTACCGTGTTGTTTATATTGATGTTGCGATGTATTTCTTCCAAGCAAAGGTAATAAAGTGTGTAACCTGTACTAAAAGAAATTTCATGTATCTTTTAAGAATGTTCTCTGAGTATATAGATCTTGTTAGTTTGTTGAGATATTGATCTTAATTAAAACAAACAATTTTGTCTACAATCTCTGAATGCTAGTTGTTATAGTGGCAGGCCTGTGCTTGTACTATGGGCACAAAGCTGATGCCTTCACCATTAGCTGGCAGTTCTCAAAATTTTTCCCTGGATTTTGATTTTGAAATCTCATAAACTAACAATGAGCAGTATTATAATACAAAGTAAGATCAGTTCATACACAAACATACAGTTATAATGTCAGTACACAGGGCCCGCAATCCAATTTGGAGGAAGTAGGTCGCTACCCTCAGCAGAAGGAATTTCAGTGGAAGAGGGATTTTTTTTATTTCCTTTTTGGTCTGCTGACAAAAAGCTGTGAAACAGCTCGAAAACAGCTTAACACTGTTCTTTTTTTTTTCAGTCGATTTAATATGTTTTGAGGGGAATTTTTACCTCTGTTGGGGGGGGGGGAGAAACATACTATTTTGATGGTTGACTGTGGTCGATATTCAGCCGCATATTTAGTAGATTGAGGGCCCTTGTACAAAACTGATTCATTATACAAACGATGCATATGTCAGGATAAAACATCAAAAAATAAGTTTATGACTACCCTTATTTATATTACAGCGCCATACACGATCATATCATTCCCGTTCCTGTTTGCTGTCATGTTTGGTGACACTGGCCATGGCTTTATCATGTTCTTGTTTGGTCTATGGATGGTGGTCTGTGAGAAGAAGTTGTTGTCCCAGAAATCAGACAATGAGGTAAGAAATGCAGATTCGGTTATATAAACTTACAACTGATTATACTGGGTCATATAAACTGGTTAATAATTTTTATTATTTAAGAAATAATATATCCCAAACTGTGATTTTATCGCTCAATAAAATCACTGTTTGGAGTTCGCATTCGAGGAATTATATCACAAGGTAATAATGCGCATCCGATTGACTAGCAGTGATTTAATCAAGCGATAAAATTGACGATTTGGATATATTATTTTGATTCTAACTCAACATTAACAAATAAATGCTGCCATACCTGATATTAAGCTAAATTGCACCTGATTTGTTTCCGTACTTTTTTCAGCTCGTTGCAATTTTAATGGTTAGGGCATATGTCCAAAAAGATAATGTCAACAGTGATTTTATTGCACAATAACACACACTTTCTATATTCAATAGGGAAAAATGTGGGTCGTGTTAGAATAAATGATTTTAAATGAAATAAGTTTGAATTAGGGTGAATGAAGTAGAAATCTGATACATGTTACACCCTGGTTTCTAAAGTAACAAACTGTTATGGTATAAAATTGCAATAATGATTATTTGCCTTTATTTTATCAATGATTAAAATATTGATCAGTTGTTTAGATGAAGAATTTAACTTTTTCTTTAAGTTATATGAATAATTATGAATTAAACAAAATTGAATCAAACAAATTAAGGGTTTATTGTTTGTTTTCAGATCTGGAATATGTTCTTTGGCGGCCGATACATTATAATGATGATGGGTTTGTTCTCACTGTATACTGGTCTGATTTATAATGACTTTTTCTCCAAATCTATCAACCTTTTTGGGTCCTCTTGGCATCCGAACTACACGTAAGTACCATTTGATTGTATAATGCATTACTTTTGTTGATTTTATTAATGTGTTAATTAGCTTTTTTCACTGCTGAAATTGATTAGTCTTTGCCACCAGTATAGAAACTGGTTAGCTTGCATATCCTTGCAGTCTGAACAGGTTTTACACTGTTACTGGCCATTGTCAGATTTTCATCAGGTTGCCCCCGTAATTGATAATGGGCAGTATCAAAATATGGAAGCTGAAAAATTACATTTAAGAAATTCAAAAGGTTTAGGGTGATAACATTGAGTTCTTTTATGAACTGAAGTTGTTTCATGTAGGTTACAGAAGTTATGTAACTGTCTTCTTATGACAAGCCATGTCTGTGTAACGGAAAACCTAATTAGGAACATGTATATTATGTATGGATATGTGCTAAACTGTACCCTGTAATGTACAGTTGTATTAATTAATTGATCACCTGCAGATAAAGCTATTTTACACCAAGGAGTTTTATATAGTGAGCTATCCTATTGAATTTTATTTTTATGATAATAATATTTACATAGTCTGCATGTCTATGCATGTTTTTTATCTTCATGAATCTGTTCACATTTTCCTGTAAGCTAAATATTGTTAATAACCTGTATTAATATGCTATACACTGTCAGTATCAATTCTAATTATCTTTCATAACTTTTAAAGGAACTCTACTGAGGTCAACAAACCTTAAGACAAAAAAATTAAAATTTGAGCTGTGTCATGACAAAACAAACATATTGTGTTTGCGACCAGCATGGATCCAGACCAGCCTGCGCATCCGCGCAGTCTGATCAGGATCCATGCTGTTCGCTATCAGTTTCTCTACTTTTAATAGGGTTTGTAAGTGAACAGCATGGATCCTGATCAGACTGCGCGGATGCACAGGCTGGTCTGGATCCATGCTGGTCGCAAACGCACTGTGTTTGGTTTTGTCATGACGCGGCTCATTTCTTATATAGATCAGCGAATGCACTTACAACAGAAAAACATCCAGATGATACTGAAATATACTAAAAAATAAATTGAAAATTAATTTTGTAAAAATTCTCAGCCTGATTTGAGATTAAAGCTTTTAAACACTTTCGATTATCGGGTCAGTTTTGTAAATATGAATTATCATACTGGAAAGAATGGAGTAAACAAATGATCTGAAATTTGCACACAAGTTATTGGTCCAAACCTACATCAAAAAATTAATAAATTCAAAAATATTTCAGTCAAGAAAAACCTCAGTGGAGTCCTTTTAAGAAAACTTATGTCATTACCAATGTTTACTGTCTTTTATTTAGACATTCTACTTTAGACCACTCAGCATCATTAAAACTCAAACCTGAAGACTTCTTTAACAATGCTACTGATGGACCATATCCTGTAGGGCTGGATCCTGTAAGTTTAAAAAACAATTTTGAAAGGTAGTTTTGATCTAGTGATTTAGTTGGATGAAAAGGAAGAATACAAAGTAACCACATGTCAACACCGGATAAATATGAATTTTTTTTTATGTAAGATCTACCTGTATCCAGTTTCTTCATCAGGATAATTTGTACAAAATGAATCTATCTGATGTATAGAAATAGTGTAAGATGGTAAGTCATGTGACAGATAAAAATAGTAACAAAATCAATGAAGTTTTCTAAAAATAGATTAAATCTTGGAAAATTGCCAGGAAAGTTGGTTTAGTTGTCCACTTCTTAAACCAGGCACATGAATACTAGTGTCAAATTTCATAAGAGTCTGTTTTAGTATATTTATAAAGCGCTCAAGTACACCTGAGTGTTCCAGGTCAAGTTGTCACTTAAGTTTTGATATTAAAATTAACTATTATTGCACAATGAAGGGGTTTTTTTGGTAGCGTGGCCATGTGGTTAATGCGTTCGATAAGTTACCTAAAAATTTCTGATTGTTTTTTCTGATTGTTAAGGTATAAACCCTATCAAGGGTGAGCTTTTGTTTCCTTTAGCATAAAACTTTACCTTCATTTTACCTTCACAGCTCAGTACTGGTTGTTTCCAGGAACATATTGGTGAGATTAACTACAAGCATATACCTAACAACACAATTTAAACTGAAATAAAATCTGTATGAAGAGAATTGGTTGCTACATTTTGGAATTTTGTTAGTCAAATCCTTCATATTTTACAGTACCAGTGGACAGTTCTAAATTTGTTATGAAATAATTCAGGACAGGATTCAAGAGGACTATCATATATGTATCAGTGAATAAACAACCTAAATCAAATTATTTGGAACATACTTTTTCTTATTCTAGATGAAGTTATGGAACACCTATTCCTTTAGAAATAAGAAATTCTACAAGTCTTAAATTGTTTAAATCAATTTTCAAACATTCATTATTATCAAAAAATGAATTGTAGACAAAATACTTGTACTTAGAGCTGTCATTGATTCAGTGCAAAGCATATTGACGATACATCAATATCGGATGACAAATATCAGCAATACATTGATATATAGATAAAAAAAAAAACCTAATTTCTTGTATATAATTCACTTTCATACCTGTTTGAATTATTTTAGTAAAATACATGTTCTGTTCATGCAAATCTGTTGTGTCCTTTTTAGCTCGACTATTCGAAGAATATGAGAGCTATTCTAGTCGCCCCGGCGTCGGCGTCAGCGTCCGCGTCGGCGTCTGCGTTGGTTAAAGTTTTTTGTAAAGTCAAATATCTCAATTACTGCTTGAGATATTCAATTGAAACTTACAATACTTATTTATAGTAACAAGGTACATCAGATTGACAAGTTGGATAACTCTGCCTACAATATTGACAGAATTATGCCCCTTTTTAACTTAGAAATTTTGGTTAAAGTTTTTTGTAAAGTCAAATATCTCAGTTATTGCTTGAGATATTCGATTGAAACTTACAATACTTATTTATAGTAACAAGGTACATCAGATTGACAAGTTGGATAACTCTGTCTACAATATTGACAGAATTATGCCCCTTTTTAACTTAGAAATTTTGGTTAAAGTTTTTTGTAAAGTCAAATATCTCAATTATTGCTTGAGATATTCAATTGAAACTTACAATACTTATTTATAGTAACAAGGTACATCAGATTGACAAGTTGGATAACTCTGCCTACAATATTGACAGAATTATACCCCTTTGGAACTTGGAAATTTTGGTTAAAGTTTTTTTTGTTATGTCAAATATCTTAATTATTGCTTGAGATATTCAATTGAAATTTCAAATACTCTTTTATAGTAACAATGTATATCAGTTTGCAAAATTGCATAACTCTGCCTGCAATATTTGCAGAATTATTTGCCCGTTTGAAACTTAGAAATTTTGGTTAAAGGTTAAAGGTCTACAAAGATATTTACTTGAAACTTTACACATGCACTTAGGGTCATAATTGGAGGGTCATAATTGTATGTCACTGACCAAGTTCCATAACTCTATCTTGCATTAAGGCTGATTCATATCCCCTTTTCTACTTAGTCTCTTGGTTAATGTTAACATGATAGTTTTACATATCTCAATAACTATTAAAGATATTTATTTAAAACTTCACATATGCATTTAGGGTTATAATTGTAGGTCACTGACAATGATCCATAATTCTATCTTGCATTTAGGCTGATTTTTCTCCCCTTTTTCAACTTAAAAGTAAAGTTTTGCTTGTAAGCTGTTATCTCAATAACTACTGAAGGGTTTGTACCTTTTTTGGGACAATTTTATGCATTCATAATAGTAAAGCAGTGATTAACTTGATAAAACATCTTTATAACAAGCCTTTGTACATTTTCTGTCAAATTTATGTATTCATAGGTAATTAGTATTATTTCACTCAATTAAACACCCTTGTGACATTACCTTCCGAATAGTCAAGCCAATACTGTATAATTAGACTCTCTCTAAGGCCTATAACATGAATTTATGGGAAAAAAAAGCTCTTTTGTGAACTTAAAAAATTTAACATTATAAAGGCTCTTTTACTATCAATCACTTAGAATAGTCGAGCGTGCTGTCCTACCGACAGCTCTTGTTATAAATATCATTATTATTATTAAGTTACATATGTTTTAGATTTGGCAAGCTAGTACAAACAAGATTACATTTACCAACTCATTCAAGATGAAACTGTCCGTGATATTTGGAGTATCTCAGATGTTGTTGGGTGTAATGCTGAGTGTCGTCAACCACATGTTAGTATTTTATGTTTATTCTAATATTAACTCGGTATTCTTTTGTAGTAAACTACTCGTTACATTTGTATGTATAAAACATATTGCAGGGTCACTTTTAAATAAACTTGAAATGAGAAAAACTTGGATTCTAATAGGCTATTCAACAGAGATCTAAAAATATCCACTTGTAATTATGAGTAGAATTTAAGAGAATTTGATGCAGGAAAAGTAGTTTTCGAAAAATGTTGCCTGCACATTGGATATAGAAGCTACTCCTCCTGCAGAACAAGTGACTCTGAAAATGAGACGCGCCATGAACAAACTAACATAGTGCGTTTGCGACCAGCATGGATCAAGACCAGCCTGCGCATCCGCGCAGTCTGATCAGGATCCATGCTGTTCGCTATCAGTTTCTCGACTTGAAATAGGGTTTGTAGGCCAACAGCTTGGATCCTGATCAGACTGCGACGATGTGCAGGCTGGTCTGGATCCATGCTGGTTGCAAACGCACTATGTTGGTTTTGTCATGGCGCGGCTGATGACATATTGACCGAGGCGATAGCCGAGGTCAATATGACTTTCTGCCGGTGAATATCACATCATATTTAATGGCTCACTAGTCAATAATTGTTTTATTATATGAATAGTCTAATTAATAAAAAAAATCGCAAAAGAACATCCTTATATACATGTACAAATTTTGCCTCGTTGAAGCGCGGGAAAAAAGACGCACGTGTTAGGCGTGCAACGAGTACTCGAACGCTGCGCATAAAAAAAATAATTCAAGTTTATACTCATCATTGCAGTGTAGCCTTATAGTATAATAGTAAAGTAATGATATTTCAATCGAGAAATATGCCATAAAGAACAAAAAACAACAATTATTTTTTAATCAGCACGCCTAAATATCAGTCTACGGTGTATGATCATTGAATATGAGTCTCAATCTATTTTAACTGGGAAAATCCAATTGAGCCAGTGAATATGATACTACACCCAGTGAATATGAGTTTATAAAAAGTTCTGTTGACTACTGTTTGGACCAATGAGATTGCAGCTATTTTTAGATCATATAATAATTCATGATATATGCACACTGCACAGCATAAAAAAAGCGATGGTTTCCGGTCATATTACGTTGGACATGATTTCATTAAAAAAAGTGTTGTCATGAAAAATGCTTTGAAAAATGCTTTGTAATTAATTTCTTAGGCCTTCCAACCTTTGTAACTTCATTTAATACCCACATTTTAACTTCACAACACAATCAAAATTGCTATCTTTTCCCAAATCAGATGCTTAGATCAAATGTTGTTTTGTGAATTATGTGTTGCTAATCAAATGTTGTTTGTGAATTATGTGTTGTTAAAAGTTACATATATTGTACCTAGTTATTTGTTATTTTTTGCAGACATTTTGGCAACTACCTGTACGTTTTCATCCAATTTATTCCTGAGGTTTTATTCCTTTTATGTATATTTGGATACCTTTTGGCTCTTGTATTCTTCAAATGGATAACCTACAATGCACAATGTGCATCGTGCACACCGGCTCTTCTTATCCGTAAGTATTGTACGCCTTTCATTAATATTGGCCTCGTTCAAAGAAGTAGAGCTATTTTTCTTTTGTATTTGTGTGTTGGTTAGCTTGTGTATAAACTATCGAATGCTTTTTTTTTTCAAGACACCTCATACTGTGTTGGGGGGAAAAAAGTGGGGAAACTTTTAATAACTTGTAGAAGCAACCCGTGTTTAACTTGAGGCAGTTGATCCTAGTGTCATAGTGACAGTGACCTTAAAAAACCCACCGTCTGGGTAGTAATAAGAGAATATTTTGCAGTTATCTCATATGATTTGGAGAGTTGTCATGACTTGTTAATGACCTTTATTTGTTTTAAGGTCCTCGGGTCAAGGTAACAATGACCTTCACCACAAGAGCTGGCCTGCCGTCTTAAGATTTTGTAGGGTGACTTATAACATGATTGATTGGTTTCCATTAAAAGTTGTTAAAATGTTTCACAAGCATCTCTTTTTATACTAGAAACAAGAAAGCTTGTTATGTTTTAGTGAGAGTACAAGAAAATTGTTTCATTTCTTATTTTTTTAGAGTTTATCAACATGTTCTTAATGAAGTACAAGGAACCAACGATGGTACCAGAGGCATACCACTGTAGTAGCATGTTGAATCATACACAGAAAGAGATGGGTTGTGACTCACAGACCCTCTTTTATGCCAACCAGGTAAGATGACTTCTTTATCCCTTTACCTTCTAATTTTTTGTAATGTATTGGTCTGATTTTAATTTGAAGCATACCATTTGAAGTCAAGGATAGTCAGTAACAAAAAAAAAAGCAAAAAAATTGAACTACCAACAGGATAGAGCCTGTGCAGGCTGGCATGGCATTATTCTAGTGGCATGGCTAGGTATTTTCTGTTCCAGCAGATAACAAGTTAGGATTAAACATTTTTGGTGTGTATCTTTTTTTTTCAAGCCAAACACATTGGATGGAAGGATATAGATTTGCAATTGTTTGTCTGTCATGCTGTCTAGAAGTGGACCAGTGTGTATCTTATCATAACTTCTTAAAATATGTAATCACCTTTGTGTTTTGACACAAATTTATAGCAGATGATCAGAGTTATTTCCCTTGATCTTGATAACAATTCTAGCACTGTATCTTTTAAATAGGCCCCTTCCATACTTCAATTCGAATGATAAATTAATACACTACAAAAGAATCTACATCCAAACCTAGTCAAAGCTTCTTTTTTGGTTGAGTGTATTTTGTCAATTTTTCAATTGTTTATACTTAATTACTTAAAGATTTTATAATGGTTAAACTGTATATTATTAGAAATGCATTGCTTAGCTCTTTGTTGCTGAGGTGTTGCCTTTAATTGTTGAGGCATAAGAATTTCAGCCACCATTTATCACTGTGTGATTGTAAGAGCCTTACTAGAGGTGACTATATGGGTTAAACTGGAGTCTGTGCATCTCTTGGCTCCAACAGGTGAGGTGGTTTTGACCCCTGCTGTTGCTTTGAAGTTTGTAACAGCAGAGGTTAGCCAAAATCATCTTTCCTGTTTCTTTCCTGCCATATGACCTGTACTGTGTTTGTGCGCCATTAAACCAAACAAACAAGCACAACAGTTTTATTGTAATAATTTGTGTATAGGTTTGATATTACTATGTCTTTTTTATATTAATTATTCTTTGTTTTTATCTTCCAGCAAACTATACAGACAGTTTTGATATTGGTTGCAGTGTTATGTATACCAGTTCTACTACTGGTAAAACCATTCTGGCTTCGGTACCAGCACAATCTGAAAGTTTTGGTAAGAGACAGGTTTTTTTGTTGTTGTTTTTTTACATCTAACTTTCACAAGTTCATGATATTGTACATATTCTATAACTATACATGTATATTGTACATGTTCTACACTATACTTGTATATTGTATAACTATATATGAGCCGCGTCATGACAAAACCAACATAATGGGTTTGCGACCAGCATGGACCCAGACAAGCCTGCGCATCTGCGCAGTCTGATCAGGATCCATGCTTTTCGCTATTAGTCTCTATTTGTAATAGAGTTTGTAAGTGAACAGCATGGATCCTGATCAGATTGCGCGGATCCATGCTGGTCACAAACCCATTATGTTGGTTTTGTCATGACGCGGCTCATATTGTATTATGATACTGCTCATTTGTAACGTCAATTTTCATCGGACAATCATGATGTTTATATTATATATAATTTTATATACTTATATATGGGGGCTACACAATTGAATGAAATAATATAGATTTATATCAAAACTAATGCTTGTTTATATTAGGCCCTATAACCAATCAAAAATCCTTATCACTAATATTTTGAGTTGGTATAATATACAATGCAGTGTAATGTTTTAAGTGTTCAGAAGTTGAAGTTTATAAGTGGAGATCTTGTACATACAGGTGCAGAATTCTTAGAGAAGCAGAATTCAAGAATTTGTTAAGTTGGAGTTGGGGTTTTTTAGGTGTTTTTTTTTTTTTAAATATTTAAGTCAGATAGATATGTTTATAAAGTTATAGCTGCATTTCTGCATTTCAAATTATATGAATGAGAAGGAATATTTGGACATGATATGTTTATTTAATTTTACTGTTTTATGGTGTAGGAAATTTATGAAATGTTTAATTTCATTATATACTTTTTATATTTCTTCAAACCTGTATGTTAAACCAACTTGCAATTATGCCAATGACTTCAAATTACTTGCCCCTCACTGATGTTTAATTTCATTATATACTTTTTATATTTCTTCAAACCTGTATGTTAAACCAACTTGCAATTATGCCAATGACTTCAAATTACTTGCCCCTCACTGCTGCGGGTTGAAGTCCCACCAGCTTGCTTACTAAAGATTAGTTTTACTCGGGCTTGTGCCATGAATTATGCACAGAATGGTCACTGAGGTTATCCTTTACCAGTAAGGCTGGAATGTTGCCATATGACCTTTACAGTGTCTGTGCAATTTCATACCCAACCAAAATTTACCAAACAAATAATACAAAAAAAAAAACAATGTTCATATGATACTGTTAAACCAAAATAGTCTTAAGATTTTGTACAACAAAAAAGAAACTGTAGATTTTTTATTGTCATCAAAAAAAAAAAAAAGCTTCAGATTTCATCAATTTTTAACATTGATACATCAAGTAACTTTATCTGTATTGAATTTATATATGTATAAAAAGTTATAGAGCCTTCCGTATGATAAAGTAATTTATATATAGAAGTGGGATAATGATACTTGTCAGTAAAAAATGCATGCTGCTTACATACAGAGCAGAAAGATTGTATTTGCATGGCTGCTGTACAAGTGTTGGAAAGCTGAAAATATATAATTGTCCTTTTGCATGATAAATCTTCTGTCTTTTTAAACAGGATATTCTGTTGCATCCAGTAAATGAGTGATTCTGTTTCGACTCTTGATAATATTTTTAGCTTGACCTTTTAAAAAAAAAAAAAGAAAATAGAGGTATTGTTATAGTCACCTCGGCGTTGCTGTCTGCAAACTTGTACCTTGATTATAATTTTTTAAGTTCTTCCACAACAAAACTTGGGACTTTAAGTAGACCAGACTTTGTCATTTATTTATGGAAAGGATTCATGCTTGGGTGAAACAACAAGACTAGTGTGACTAGACAGACCTATTAGAATTTTAAAAAAAAAACGAAAATCTTATTATTTTTTACTTAAATTTTCTTTTAAACTGTTTATTTGTTTGCTTTTAGAAAAATTTAAAAGGAAGAGTGTTCCCCCCCGCCCAGCGGTGGCTCTTGTTTATCATAAGCCCGTGCTGCTTTTGTGACTCCATAAAAATGGTATTGCATGGCCGTGTATTTATCTTTGACATGACATCATTGTTATCATTACAGAATGTTTTCATTTTAGTGTACAAATGTAAATGGCCACTTTAATTTTGTTTTTAAATGGGCAAATTGCTTAAATCTGGCCATGAGGTTATAAAATTTGAATCAAACGACCAGTCTAAAATTCTTGACTCTGGTTGGCTTAAAGGCACATTATGTCTCCAACAAATAAAATTTTTCTTCTTGAGAAAAGACAAACATGAGTTTTATAACATTTAAAAAATGTTTAAGAGAATTTATTGTCTAAAAAAAGTGGCACTGAATGTGAAATTTGTAGTCACAAAAGTAGCAAAATGTAAAAAAGTAGTATTTTGACTTCCATACGAAATACTTACTCACTACAGTTACTGTAGTAATTGTCAAACAGCAAGAGAACCACAATATGGTTCTGGTAATTGGCAAATGAGTATCTTTTCAGAAACTGTATTATTAACATGGCACCATGAATAAAAATCTTTTAAAAAATAAAAGCATTTCTAGGGCTAAATGGGCCTTTAATTCAAATTTTTGCAAATTTTAGAATAACCAATCACTATGCACGTTATTGTAGACTGCTTCAAGAATTCAAATTTATAATCTCAATCTCTTGTGTTTGCTTATGTCTTTGTTATATACATTTACATGTTATATACATGTAATTATCTGATTTGCATGTTGGAATGACTGTTTATAGGCTGCTGAAGCTGTGAGTATTATAAGTAAATAGAAGGCTTTCAGTGTCGCAGCAGTTGTTGGGTGTATTATATTATATATATATGCTTGTTGATGGCTATGTATAACAAAGATATTGTCATCTGGAACTGAAAAATATAATTATGATATATTTAAACAATTAATCAGTCAATTCATTGGCCCTCATGAACCTGTACAAACTATATAATTTATTGTAAAAAAAACTTGTTCAGTTTTAATCTAGACAAGACCATTTTTCAATTTTAGGAAAATTTCAACCTTGACCATTCTTCAGTTTTAAGAAAAATTTTAAAATATGAAGTGACTGAATAGGGAACAATGCAAACCCTCAGGTCAGATGGCACAATAGCACATATGGGCTGGTTGATTTTGGTCTGCACTGGTCACACAGGTAGAACCAGTTGCCATAGGCAGGCTAAGAATAAAAAGTCTTGAGATTGGGTGCATTAATGAATCAATTGATTCTTAATGTCTAAGTTGCAGTCTGCTTATTGTACACTGAGAATGAGGAAGTGAATTCCATGAATTGTGGTAAAAAGAATACCCCCCCCCCCCCAACAACAACAAAAATTATTTTTCTTTAAAAAATGGCCATTTATAAGACAGGCATTTTCCTGTCGATTTGAATTAAGCAAAGGGTTTTTGCATCCCTTCAGTACAACCAAGTTCCAGATGATAATATCCTCTTAAATATATTATAATTTAAACAAATGTTAAAAATGTGTATCTGACAGGGGTTTCACTTTGCTTGAAACAATATTTGTCATTGTTTTAAGTAGATGTAAATATACCTGACTTAAAAGAATGACTAGTTAATAAATATGGCCTATAAATTGGAGGGTATTTACGCATCTGCCAGGTTGTCATGAAATCCTTGTCATCACTATAAGTGTTTACTTAGGTAATAAATGCTATTTGTATTTTGGTTCTTGTTGTTGTTTAGCTAGAACTAGAAGATATGTAACTTAATCAGATACCTTGATAGAATAATGCTCATGTCTGTCTGTCTGTCTTCTGTGTTGCCTTCTATGTTAAGATTTATCTGTTTAGCTAGAAAAATTGTTGCATTGTCTATCTTTCAGGCTGTTTAATGACTACCGGTATTTTTGTCACATACTAAGAATGTCCAATGGTCATAATATTTTCTAGAAACTTTAGGTAACAGCTATAATTGCACATCTAAATATAAGACTTTGATTATGATTCTAAGTGTATTGAAATGACCTTGTATGGTTTCATGGCTCATGGAAATGACCTTGACAATGATTGTCGTTAGAACACTGCAGTAGGTTATAATATTGTGTATGAATAGCAGTTATTTCAAGGGACAACATGTAAAACTATCTCCTTAGTTTAATGGAATGTTGTAGAAACTTAATGAACCTAAAATGTCAAATATATAATGACACTGTTCAATAAGCCCTTGACATGGTAGTTTATATAATAATGATGATAGAAAAATAACTAACATATAGCTAAGGGCCCATTTCATCACAATCTTTATTTATTCTTTTAGTTTGCCTAGTGATATGACATTCCATTGTTACATCAGACCATCTGTTTGTATTCTGTTTGTGTCTCCCTCTGTTAGCTAGAACATACATTTGAGCCGCGCCACGACAAAACCAACATAATGGGTTTGCGACCAGCACGGATCCAGACCAGCCTGCGCATCCGCGCAGTCAGGATCCATGCTGTTCATTTTTACAAACCTTCACAAGTAGAAAAATAAATAGGGAAAACTTTGGTTGGTTTCAGACTCGTGGATGCTCGGGCTGGTCTGGACCCAAAATGCGGGGTTCGCAAACGCTTTTATTTTGGTCTTGTCAGGGAAAGGTTTCCATTTATTAAAATATAAGTTACAGTAATTTTTTGGGTTTTGATTTTATGTATCCTCCCCTTGGGAGTTACGGGTTTAACCCCTTTTTAAATTATATAGGGAAATTTAAACCCTTTACTGCACAAAAAGGGAAAAGTTTGCATTTTTTTAAATAAGTTTTATAGATAGCAACCCTTTAGATTTGAAAATAATAAATGCAGAAGGGGTTTTTTCCAAAAGTTCTCCATTTCCTTTCCCGGGAAAGCCTTTCATATCAGGCGAATTAGCTTTTATGGTATTTGATATACTGTATAATACATTACAGTCTTTACCTGTATTCATTGATGTATTTGAAAAGTTGATGGGTTTTTTTTGGTTTAATTTCATTGTAATTCCTTAAAAAAATCATTTTCAAAATTTAGGATTTTTAGCTCACCTGTCACAAAGTGACAGGGTGAGCTTTTGTGATCACTTTTCATCCGGCGTCCATCCGTAAACTTTTACTTTAAATGACATCTCCTCATAAACCACTAAGCCAATTTCATCCAAACTTCACAGGAATGTTCCTTTGGTGGTCACCTTTAAAAATTGTTCAAAGAATTTAATTCCATGCAGAACTCTGGTTGCCATGGCAACCGAAAGAAAAACTTTAAATATCTTCTTTTAAAAAAACCATAAGAGCTAGAGCTTAGATATTTAGCATGAAACATCTTCTAGTGAGTGTCTACCAAGTTTGTTCAAATAAAAAGCCCTGGGGTCAAAATTGGCCCCGCCCTAGGGGTCATTGATTTTCCCTATATGCATATAGTAAAAACTTAAAAAATCTTCTTTTAAAGAACCCAAAGAGCTAGAGCTAAGATATAAAGCATGAAACATGTTCTAATGGGTGTCTACCAAGTTTGTTCAAAATTAAAAGCCCTGGGGTCAAAATTGGCCCCGCCCCGGGGGGTCCTTGATTTCCCTATATGCATATAGTAAAAACTTAAACAATTTTCTTTTAAAGAAATCAAAGAGCTATGGCTAAGATATTGAGCATCAAACATGTGCTAATAGGTGTCTACCAAGTTTGTTCAAATAAAAGCCCTGGGGTCAAAATTGGCCCCGCCCCAGGGGGTCATTGATTTCCCTATATGCATATAGTAAAAACTTAAAAAATCTTCTTTTAAAGAACCCAAAGAGTTAGAGCTAAGATATTTAGCATGAAACATGTTCTAATAAGTGTCTACCAAGTTTGTTCAAATAAAAGCCCTGGGTCAAAATTGGCCCTGCCCGGGGGGTCATTGATTTTCCCTATATGCATATAGTAAAAACTTAAAAAATCTTCTTTTAAAGAACCCAAAGAGTTAGAGCTAAGATATTTAGCATGAAACTTATTCTAATAGGTGTCTACCAAGTTTGTTCAAATAAAAGCCCTGGGGTCAAAATTGGCACCGCCCCGGGGGTCATTGATTTTCCTTATATGTGTATAGCAAAAACTTAAAAAATCTTTTTTGAAAAAACCCAAATAGCTAGAGTTAAGATATTAAGCATGAAACATCTTTTAGTGAGTGTCTACAAAGTTTGTTTAAATAAAAGACCTGGGGTCAAAATTGGCTTCGCCCCGGGGATCAATATTGCTTTTCCTTATATGTGTATAGCAAAAACTTGAAATCTTCTTTGAAAAAACCCAAATAGCTAGAGTTTAGATATTAGGCATGAAACATCTTCTAGTTAGTGTCTACAAAGTTTGTTCAAATAAAAGCCCTGGGGTCAAAACTGGCCCGGCCCCAGGGGTGTCATTGTTTTTAACTATATGTGTATAGTAAAAACTTTAAAAAAATCTTCTTTTAAAAAGCCCAATGAGCTAGAGCTTAGATGTTTAGCATGAAACATCTTCTTATGGGTGTCTACCAAGTTTGTTCAAATAAAAGCCCTTGGGTTAAAATTGGCCCTGCAACGTTGGGGGGGGGGGGGGGTCTATATACAGGTGAGCGACCTCAGGGCCATCATGGCCCTCTTGTTTAATTTTTTGTTATTTCTGAACACAATCGTCACACTATATACCCAGTTATTGTTTCTTGCATGGTATTTGCACTAAAATTGCACTGTTATTTACCATTTATGAAACTTTAAATGAAGCAAAATTTTTTATTACTTATTCTATCTATATAATCAGACAGGGCTTTTAATCACTAATTCCATTGTACTTGAAAATTTAAGTATTAAAGCTTATGCCATAATGATAAAGTAAAGGAATGATGTAGATTAAGTGACCCTCAGTATTAGAGTATTAGATAATTTTTAAACTACTTTGGAAAGTTAATGAAAATGTCAGTTCATTTATTAAACAATTTTTTTTCACTTTAACAGTAGCTTTAGCCGGCTTTCTTCGTTTAAATGATCAATGTGTAAAAATTAGCAGTTACAGAAAAATACTGATTTATATAGATATGACGATCCGAACCGCAAAATATGACAGATATTATTAGTCTTATTTTTACATAAATTCATATATTTGTTTTAGTCAATCAGTCAGTTATACATTCAGTTCTTTCACTTTCAATTATTTAGACATTTATTCAGTCAGTCATTCAGTCTTACTGTTATACATTCATTCATTATGCATCTTAGACATTCATTCCACCATTCATTCATTCATTCATTCATTCATTGTGCTACTTAGACAGTCATTCATTCAGTTACTTAGACATTTATTTAGTCAGTTATTTTGTTCTTGAGTCATTGGTTCATTCACTCATTTGACTATTCAGTCACCCATATCATTTGACTATTCAGTCACCCATATTCAGTCACCCAATTTACTCAGGCACTCAAAAAACGTGAAAATTTCTTTATATATAGATACTGATTTTGACAGTTTAGTAATTTCAAAATTATAGAATACAGGTTGTGTGTATTGATAACTGTGAAATGTATTTTGTTTAATGTTATAAAAACAATGAAAGAAACAATGGTATTGCTAAGAATAGATTGTTCCTGATTTTTAGCTCACCTGTCACAAAGTGACAGGGTGAGCTTTTGTGATCGCTTTTCGTCCGGCGTCCGTCCGTCGTCCGTCCGGCCGTCCGTCCGTCCGTCCGTAAACTTTTGCTTTAAACGACATCTCCTCATAAACCACTGAGCCAATTTCATCCAAACTTCACAGGAATGTTCCTTTGGTGGTCACCTTTAAAAATTGTTCAAAGAATTTAATTCCATGCAGAACTCTGGTTGCCATGGCAACCGAAAGAAAAATCTTTAAATATCTTCTTTTAAAAACCCTAAGAGCTAGAGCTTAGATATTTGGCATGAAACATCTTCTAATGAATGTCTTACCAAGTTTGTTCAAATAAAAGCCCTGGGGTTCAAAATTTGGCCCCGCCCCAGGGGGTCATGATTTTCCCCATATGCATATAGTAAAAACTTAAAAAATCTTCTTTTAAAGAACCCAAAGAGCTAGAGCTAAGATATTTGGCATGAAACATCTTCTAGTGAGTGTCTACCAAGTTTGTTCAAATAAAAGCCCTGGGGTCAAAATTGGCCCTGCCCCAGGGGGTCATAGATTTTCCCTATATGCATATAGTAAAAACTTAAAAAAATCTTCTTTTAAAGAACCCAAGAGAGCCTAGAGCTAAGATATTTGGCATGAAACATCTTCTAGTGAGTGTCTACCAAGTTTGTTCAAATAAAAGCCCTGGGGTCAAAATTGGCCCTGCCCCAGGGGGTCATAGATTTTCCCTATATGCATATAGTAAAAACTTAAAAAATCTTCTTTTAAAGAACTGTAAGAGCTAGAGCTAGATATTTGGCATGAAACATCTTCTAGTGAGTGTCTACCAAGTTTTGTTCAAATAAAAGCCCTGGGGTCAAAATTGGCCCCGCCCCAGGGGGTCATTGATTTTCCCCTATATGCATATAGTAAAAACTTAAAAAATCTTCTTTTAAAGAACCCAAAGAGCTAGAGCTAAGATATATTAGCATGAAACATCTTCTAATGAGTGTCTACCAAGTTTGTTCAAATAAAAGCCCTGAGGTCAAAATTGGCCCTGCCCTGGGGGTCATAGATTTTCCCTATTTGCCATATAGTAAAAAACTTAAAAAATCTTCTTTTAAAGAACCCAAAGAGCTAGAGCTAAGATATTTGGCATGAAACATCTTCTAGTGAGTGTCTACCAAGTTTGTTCAAATAAAAGCCCTGGGGTCAAAATTGGCCCCGCTCCGGGGGGTCATTGATTTTCCCTATATGCATATAGTAAAAACTTAAAAAATCATCTTTTAAAGAACCGTAAGAGCTAGAACTTAGATATTTGGCATGAAACATCTTCTAGTGAATGTCTACGAAGTTTGTTCAAATTAAAGCCCTGGGGTCAAAATTGGCCCCGCCCCAGGGGGTCATTGATTTTCCCTATATGCATATAGTAAAAACTTAAAAAATCTTCTTTTAAAGAACCCAAAGAGATAGAGCTAAGATATTTAGCATGAAACATGTTCTAATGGGTGTCCTCTACCAAGTATGTTCAAATAAAAGCCCTGGGGTCAAAACTGGCCCCGCCCGGGGGGTCATTGATTTTCCTTATATGTGTATAGCAAAAACTTAAAAATCTTCTTTGAAAAAACCCAAATAGCTAGAGTTTAGATATTAAGCATGAAACATCTTTAAGTAAATATCTACAAAGTTTGTTCAAATAAAAGCCCGGGGGTCAAAACTGGCCCTGCCCCAGGGGTGTCATTGTTTTTAACTATATGTGTATAGTAAAAACTTAAAAAATCTTCTTTATAAAAACCCAATGAGCTAGAACTTAGATGTTTAGCATGAAACATCTTCTTATGGGTGTCTACCAAGTCTGTTGAAATAAACAAATAAAAGCCCTTGGGTAAAAATTGGCCCGGGGGGGGGGGGGCTATATACAGGTGAGCGACCTCAGGGCCATCATGGCCCTCTTGTTTACAATATTTACCTCCCTTGCCAAAAGTGGCAGCCATTTTGGGGGTCAATATTCGATATAATTTAATTGACAAAATATGGAAAAATCAATATAAACAGATGATTTAAGTGAATTGTCAAGTTCTTTAATACATATGAAGCAAAATATTATTTTAACACTATTGAATATGTAAAAGATTTTAATCAGTTTTCATGATGACGATAGAAAATAATAAAAGATTTTTATCTAATCTTAAGCATATGATAAACATGTATTAGGAATGACCCCCAAAATGGCGGCCAGGGGAGGTAATAATTGCTAAATGTGAAAAACATCAATATGTTATGTAATTTCAGAGAAAGACTGGCCTCAGTGCCGTGTCTCACGAGCGTCTTGTACCAAACGAGGTTCCACCCGGACAGGAAGTATGTACAAAATTTCAATTTGAAAACTTTATAACTATTGCATCTTATGTTAAACATTCAGTCAATTATGTTTAGATGTTTCAGTTAACTGTTGTAATTATCTTTTTTCGTTTTGTATAGCATTGCTTTTATGTGGCACTCTCTTCTCATGCAAAGAATGCATGCAAAATTTGTGTAGTCAAGAACAAATTACTGGTAGAATTTGGTCACTGATGATAGTGAGTGATAGTGTAATAATTATAATATAATTATAATATATAATATATTTCTATTATTATATGATGAATGCATGGTATATAAATATTATAAGCAGACGCATATCATGTGAAAGACTTTTGTAAAGATTTCTTGACTTTTTCATCATCATGCTGTCTTTTTGCAACAGATAGGTGAACAAAAAGTTATTGCTTTCTTTAACTTGACGGTCTCTGCAGATAATTGTACATTTATTTTTGTTTTCATATTAAATTTGTTTAAATCATCATTGTAACAGATAAGTCTTAGCCCACTTATTTCTATGGGATTGAGAGCATTGGAATAGTAACCCAGGGGTGCTGGTTCAATCCTCTGGCAAGGCAAAAGTTCTCAATGACATAAATTTTGATCTCAGATATTGAGTCAAATGAGCCGCATCACGACAAAACCAACATAATGGGTTTGCAACCAGCATGGATCCAGACCAGCCTGCGCATCCCCGCAGTCTTATCAGGATCCATGCTGTTCGCTATCAGTTTCTCTACTTGTAATAGAGTTGGTAAGCGAACAGCATGGATCCTGGCGCAGGCTGGTCTGGATCCATGCTGGTCGCAAACCCATTATGTTGGTTTTGTTGTGACGTGGCTCAAATGGTCTTTTGTCTCAGACACTGCTGATAGAGAAATCTTGTGGGATTAGTAGTCAATCGCTTGCAGAAAAATCAGAAATTTAACTGGGCAATATGATTTTTTTATGACTGGCTAGCTATCTAGGAAAGTTAGTAAGGTGGATTGGGTCCGAAATATGACTAGAACTGGAATAAGTGGGTGTTTAAAAAACAACAACAACAAAAAACACGAATATAAAGTCTGTCCAGTTTGCATATTTCGTGTAGTTGGATTAGATTGTCTACCGCTGACTGTTGAAATTTTTAGCCCAAAGTCAGAGCAGAGCGGGCCCATTACATTCATATAGGGTTATACCTGTTAAACTGTGTTCACTGTGTGTTGATGCAGCTATGTTGCTATTGACTAAATAGTTTTTATTAATGATTATATTAAATTATTTGACCATAAATATTTGCTTTTATCAGCTTTTGAGTTGTAAATTTCAAAATTTCTGTTATTTTAAGCTATTACTTTGTGTCATTTTTTAACAATTGGTTTTCTGCACTAATCTATAAATAGCTCAAGATGCTGATGTTAATGGGATTTTAGAAAAATCTTCTCAAAGATCTTTGTGTATTCTGTTGCTATTTACTAGTTTATGCATGGTTGAAGCTTTATTTTAATACTGACTAGCTCTTTAATATGTTTATGTACTGCATATATCTCTAAAAATAGAATTATAATATCAAATAAATGATAAATGGGTAACACTAGAAAATATCATGGTCTTCTAAGGTTACTTTAACATTTGACCTTTCTGTATTCTTGATTTCAGTCAACAGGCCCGGCTTTCACTAACATTCTCAAACTGAGATAAATCTCAACTTAAGATTGTCTCAAATTTGACTGAGATTCTTACTCATCTGAGAAAAATCTCAAGTTGGCTTTCACTAAATTTTTTCTCAACATTTGAGAATTTTCTCAACTGAGACTGCTTTTTTCTCAAGACTTCAATCTTAGTGTGCATTGTTGATGGGCTTCTATGACTAATATATGTTGCTATTTTGATGTAAAATGACACAACAGGAATTTTGTTGTATATTTATCACATTAATGATTACAGATATATTTTTTTAAAAAAACACACAGCAACAAAAAACACCAAGAAGCAAATGTATGAATATTTGAATGCTAATGAAAATAATTTATTAAGAATAAATGAAGTTCTTCATAGTTTTTTGCAAACAGTATTTTAAATGAAAATGAAACAAAATTCAATAAATTATATTTAGTATGTTTATTGTGAAGTCATTATTTCATGACTTCAATAATTAGAGTGCATGATATCACCCACAATTATCAGTCAATATATTACTTAATATATGAAATTAATAGGAACTTTATTTGCCAAAAAAGGTCAAATTATATTTATTTATCAAAATAACTATGCAGAAAGTAAAAATACCCCTGAGAATAATATTTGTGATTTAACAGTTTGCTTATCTGTTCACATGTCTGTTTTCTTTTTACATTTGCAAAAAGTCTTGAACCAAATGTAAAGTTGTGAAAAATCTGCTAAATGTATTTAAATAACATGAATACAGTAGGCTGTGTTTCGTGTAACAAAAAAATGTACTGACGGACAACTTGGGTCAATGTAACAAAATTCTTTTTCATTAAACCCCAAACCCCAGTTTGAACTAATATCAATATAAAGATGCAAATGTTTCATTATAAATGATGTTGAATCTCTAATAAATTTGTATGAAAACATCAACAAAAATTCCTTATATCCTCTCAAATAAAAGGATCAGTGTACATGTACTTAAAATTTTTGCCATTTTATAAAAATGCTGGTCAGTATGGCCTATTGAAAGTTTTGAGCTGTGAAAAATTTATGAGAAATATTGAAAACAGAAAATGGGTGGGTGGTGGCTAAGATGCATTTAAGGGACAGGGGATTAAACTTAGCACTTTAGATATGAAATATTAAGGAGCAGTCAGTGTGTAAAATATTCTTATATTGTATATTCTGTTATCTTTTGCTCATTTTTTGTCACTGTTTGGCACATTTTCTATGCAGTCTGTTGACCAAGGGAACGATAAATCCCAGTCTGGCATAGAATTGTCGGTAAGTTAACTGTAACTTTGTATTCCAGATATAAAATCAAGGCTTTAGCGCTACATTGTTGTAACTGAATGGTCTATGTAGATCAAAGTAGAACAGTGTTGCGATGATCCTTCGAAAAAAAATTTTTTTTTTGCTGTTATTGCTTCTCTTTTGTACAATTTGTAAGCTTTCCTATTTCAAATTGTAATCAATATTGAATTACTCACTTAGTAATTTATATATTTAAGGGTATAGAGGGTTGCTAGTCGATTTTTTCACAGTATTTTCCTCTTTTTCAATTTTGCATTTTGTTGTCATATTGCACAGGGATTGTAGTTTGGAGAAGTTTTAGGGTTTAAGGGGGAATGCTCGGATAATTATATACTTGTCTATTGAATATGAACTGGCCGAAATTATTAAACCCTTAAATCCAGGTTTCTATGAAACTTTACTGTAACAGTTAGTGCTAGACTCCATTTCTTTATGATAATGCTTTTTGTAGGACACAGCTAGCATGAATATGAACATATATGTGAATGGGAGCTTTTTGTGGGACATAGGTCATTTATATGTTCATTTTAGGGAAAAGGGCAGCTTTTTATGGGTCACAGGTCATAAATAGAAACATTTTATGTGAAAGGACAGCTTTTTTGTGGGACACAGGTTATGTATGGGAACATTTTATGTGAAGAGGGACACAGGTCATGTATAGGAACATTTTATGTGAAAGGGCATTTTTTTATGGCACACAGATTATATATAGGAACATTTTATGTCAAAGGGCAGCTTTTTGTGGGACAATGGATATAATATTATCAGCTAGTTTATGTAAAAAGATTTTTGTGGTACACAGGTCATGTATTGGAATATTTATGTGAAAGAGTCTTCTGTCCATTATAACAGTCAGTTCTAATGAAGCAAGAAAGCACGGATCATAATGGGGGGTGGGGGTGATAAGTTTTATGATTATACAATATCCTACTGAATGAACCCATGTCTACATGTATTTGAAATCAGATAATTTTGTATGGAAAACAGGCTGCATGTAAATACATTGGTGTGGTTAGTGGTTTTACTAACATGATTAATTTCACTTTTCTGTAATATTTTGCATGTTTATAGATAATCATACCCCCACACAATAAACTTGTAAGGGGGTATACTGGAATCAGCTTGTCCGTCCGGCCGTCCATCGGTTTTTCCTTGTCCGCCCAATAACTTAAGATTTCTTTGACCCACAGCCTTCATATTTGGCATGGTGGTTAGTTATGATTAGTAGATGACCCCTATTAATTTTTAGGTCACTGGGTCAAAGGTCAAGGTCACAGGGGCCTTGAAAAAAAAAAGTTTGTCTGCCCAATAACTTCAGAAACCTTTGACCCACAGTCTATATATTTGGCATGAAGGTTGAACATGACCATTCGGTGACCCCTATTGATTTTGAGGTCACTGGGTCAAAGGTCAAGGTCACAGGGGCCTAGACTAGAAAAAGCTTTTCGGCACAATTGCATAAGAATGCTTTGGTCAACAGTCTTCATATTTTGTAATGAGGTTGTTTATGACTAGTAGACTGATGACCCCTATTGATTTTTAGGTGACTGTGTCAAAGGTCAAGGTCACAGGGACTTTTACTTTAATAAGCTTGTCTGCTCAAATGCTTAAGAATGCCTGTCCACAGTGTATTGATTTTGACATTTTCACATTTGAATTATGTAGAATACATAACTTAGCAATGCACTGGCTTAGTGACTCAGATTTGGCAGGGAGGTAAAAAATGTCTTAGAGCTCTAAATGGCCACTGTTGATTCTGACAAAGTGGTATGTGGGGGTATTCACGCCATGACAGTGTCAGTTCTAGTTTAATTCTACATGTACTAGTTTAGTTAATTCAGTCTCTCTTATTAACAAAGCCAGTGGGTGGAGCAAATTTCTAAGTTAATTAATAGATTAGATTATTTAATTGTTTCTATATCCTTCTAAAAGTCTAATTGGCTGTTAAGGTGGACCAGAGCTGATGCCATTTCTTGCCACTATAGGACAAAAATATTTTAGTCAAATGTAATATTAAAAGTAGATCATGCTGTCCATTAAAAACTTGTAAATGATAAGTTAGTTAAACCTGACCTGCTTTAAGCTTAGTTACTAAGGTAGAGCAGAAACTACAATATGACAAGATTGTTACCTAAAGAAAGCATGCCTTCTAAGCATTTCTTAAGATCAGTGCAGTGTATAAATTCGTCTGGTTCTTTGGTTAGTCAGTGTGATGATAACTTGATAGGTGAATTAAGAAGAAAAAAAATCAGTTTCACTCCACCAGTGCAAGTGACACATGTGGGGAAGTTGGTAATGTTTTGTAGAATACTGGTCAAGACTTCTACTGAATGTAGGAATGTCTAACTTGTTGTGTTTAATTCATGCTGATATATGAAGAACCAACTGTAAAAAGAAATAATAAGCACTTAAATGTGAGAATATTATATGATTTTGTAAGCAATAATATGCTTGGGACAGTAAATTTGAAAATTAACATGTGAATAGATAAGTATCGTGACCTTGAAAATTAACATGATTTGAATTAATATGCCTGATGTAATATTAAGATGGATTGACTGACCACCAATTAAAATTTATATTACCAAGCTCTTGTTGTAAATGGAGACATATGAGACGCGTCACGACAAAACCAACATAATGGGCATGGATCCAGACCAGCCTGCGCATCCGCGCAGTCTGATCAGGATCCATGCTGTTCGCTGACAATATATAACAAGTAGAGAAACTGATAGTTAGTTACTAACATAAACCCATTATGTTGGTTTTGTCATGACGCGGCTCAATATGTATTTTAGTTATCACATTAATGTCTGTAGAATACATTATTGTTCTATTCAAGTATCCGGCAAAGGTAAAATATTTGGCCTCCTGTAAAAGCACTGCTGTCACACCCAGCACAATATACATGTACAATGTAGTTTATAACCGTATAAGTTTACCCCAAAAATATTATGATTAACAAATGTCTATGAATATTAAGACCTGTCTATGAAATTTTATTGTATGCCTGTTAGTAAAGATGACTGCTTCACTCAGATTAGGGGAAGGGGAGTTCAGCAACATTAGATTTGGAAAAGAATATTACCTGTAGTTTGCAGCTTCAGGTTATTGTATTTTTTCAGGTTATTGTATTTTTTTTTTTTTTTTTTTGCCGAAAAAACTGAATTTTCTAATAAGGAATAAGATGCCATTTCTGATCAATTTAATCCTATTGGTAGATTCAGTAGTCTTCTGGCCATCTCAGGAAAGTATTCAGACTAGGCCTTGCAAAATAAAATTGATGATTTTCTATCAATTGCAGAATTTCGATACTGATTCTAGAGTTTTAAATCTTCGAAGAACTTTGATACTGATTCTAGAGTTTTAAATCTTCCATTGTTTACTCAGTCCCCAATAGACTAATTTTTTCAAAATCACAATCCACTATTTGCCATGATTATGAATTAAGTAATTCTTCCCAGAACAGCCAAACATAATTCTGTTGAAACACATACAATAATCAGTGTTGACTTTCCATCGCACAATGGCATGTAACACCTGTACCCTGTTGGTGGTACCCTGAGAAGTGAGAAGCCTGAATTGTTATCAATATAAGGCCTGATCATCAAAATATGAGCCGCGCCACGACAAAACCAACATAATGCGTTTGCGACCAGCATGGATCCAGACTAGCCTGCGCATCCGCGCAGTCTGATCAGGATCCATGCTGTTCGCTTACGAATCCATGCTGGTAGCAAACCCATTATGTTGGTTTTGTCATGATGCGGCTCATATTTTCTTTCATTCAAATTTATAGTAAATAAGTACCTAGTACTTCAATGAGAACTCTTAGCTGAAATCTCAAAAGAATCCATACGAACAAGTTAAATCTGTAAACAGAAAAGGTTTGCTTCCTCCTTTACACCTCCACCCAACCTGCCTCCCCTTGTTATATAAGTAGACTAGAACAAAATTTATATTTGACTTTTTAAAAGTTTTCCATAACACACAATCCTACTGGTATTAATAATGTTCTCTAATTGCATGTTTACTTTTCTCTGAGTTTATTTGTCAGATTAATTTTACAATAGCTGGGTATACACTAACTTTGTTATATCTATGATTTTTGTGATATTATGAATTAAAAGATGAATAAATCTATAAACCAACAGAATAATTTTTAAAATGTCAGTCTTTGATGATAAGAATAGGAATTTCACATTTTCATCTTTTACAAGAGAATAAGAAAAAAACTTAAAGGCACAGTCATGCTTCAGAAATCCAATTAGAAATGTTGAACATGTATTCACAGCATGTTAGATGTTTTATAACTCAAGAAAGTAGTGCTAAATGTGCAGTAATTAGTTGTAAATGTAGCAAAATGTAAACAAATTAGTATTTTGACTTCCATACAAAATACTTATTCACTATGATTATGAGCAAAAGAAACAAGAGATATTTCATGTGTATGGCAAATGCCTATTTGTTTGGAAACTGTAACAAGATACCAAAATAAAGGAAAAAAATCATTAACGAGGCATGTTGGGCCTTTAAGTTAAACACTGAAATATTCAACGTTGAATTTTATAATCCAGACATGTTTGTGTCATAACTATAATTTAATAGAATTTTTTTTTTTTTTTTTTTTTTTTTTTTTTTGCAAAATTTTAATAAAACAATATTTTACTGAAATGTACACAAAATACAACTGGGGAACAGATGAGGGGATGCATTTAAAATCAATGATGAAATTAGCTTTTTTTCTATATTTTGATTGCCAGAAATTACTCCCATTTGTTGATAATTATTACATGCCAGCTTATTGCTGTTTAACCACAGAAATATCAGTTGCAGTGCTATCATTTAAAACATACACATCACTCTGATTTGTTACCATTTACCATGCTTATATTTATATAAATGACCAGTATAATATAGAAATTGTTTATGATATAGGGAGTACAGAGTTCTGACGTGAGCGTGTCTATCAATGGTGGCGCTGGGGATGCTGTGATGACCATAGAAATACACGAGGTGGTTGAGGAAGTAGAAGAGGTAACAATCTAGTTTACGTGATTTCCATTATATAAGATTTTAGTACATGATAATGGAACTAGTGGTAAATGGGTTTAATTTTATATTTGAAATCTTTTCCCGCCACAGCTCTAGGTTCCCCGTCATTAGAAAATCGCATTCCTCATAGAGGAAAATTTTCCAGTTATATTGATGAAATCATTGGTTTTTGAGTTTTTAAAAAATGCCCGAGAGGACTGTAAATTTTCCTCTAAAATAATTGCTGGGAAAATTGTCATATGACCTTTACAGTGAGGGTGTTGAAAATTTTTTAAACTATGTGGTTTTTTAGTATTAAGATAAACCAAATTGCATATATTGTAACTGCCTTGGTATTTTGATTAAAAATAAAAAAATGATTATGAAGATTTTTCCAAACGGATAAAGATTAGCAAATAAAATGGTCCTATCGTTTTTTTTCCCTTTTATGTTTGAACAAAAAACTTTTATTATTGCTTCTGTTAAAGCTGTTCAATAAATCCTTTTTTCTTCTCTTGGTTATTTAGCTTGGTTTATACTTCATTCCTGGATAGACTATCTGTAATCATGACCCTTTTGTTATACATAATTTTTAAATAACATGATAAAAAATTTTTTAGCAAAAATCCCTGAAATAAAGCTTTTTATTAATATCATTTTACAGTTTGATTTTGGGTAATAAAATTTTGTGGGTCAAGTTTCCCACACAAAAAGAGTACGGGGTTCTCGGATGTGTTTTCACACACTGCCTTACCTCCGTTTTGGTTTCTCAGTTTTGGCCCATGCAGGGAATTTTCTGTTAACCTGAAAAAAATGTGCCTCTGAATTTAAAATTTTTAAAATTTTTTAAAATTTAAATATTTTTATTTTTTTTTGTATTAAGTGAATGGAAGATTATATTTCCTTACCTCGGTTTTGTGCGTCTGTGGCTGCGTGGTTAAGGTCTTCTTCTTCAGACCACTTGTCTTTTCCTGCTGAAGGTTCGAGTTGGGCAAGCGTCTTTGGATTCTTTCATGTGTAAACGCAATAAAAAAAATTTTAAATCCTTATCTCAGTTAAAGAGTATTGTATCTTTATATATTCAGTATTATAGTGTTTTGATAATGATACTGTAAATAATGTCATGGATAGTTATGATTTGCTTCTTTGTCTACCTTAGTGACTATATTTAACTGTCTATTGTTTTAATTCAGAATTGTCTGAAGTGCTATGGAGTATGTTGTTCCGTATTTCGTTAACTATGGACTTACCATACATTGGTGCCGTACTTATCTTTGTCGTATTTGCCGTGTTTGCGACCTTGACCATTGCTGTACTGCTGTTGATGGAGGGGCTGTCGGCTTTCCTGCACACGCTCCGTCTTCACTGGTAAACTTTTCCTTACTTATTGTTTTGCAAAAAATAATAATGACAATGATAAATTTGATTGTCATATTTATCAACTTTATGGTGGTTTTACCCTGTAGAATGACCGCAAACAGGCGCATTTCAAGGGTTGTCAAAAACTGCAGGTTTACTTATAATGTAATAAGAAATTTAAAAAATAGATTTACAACAGTCTTTAGGGGGAAAACCCTCCATTTGTAGAACTAGACACCTTTTGTATCCTTTAACTAGTGAAAACAATTCCATAATATCTTTGGGAGATTTAACTCAAAAATTAAGTCTATTGCACCAAAGCAGGGGCTGGACCTTATGTCAATAAGATATTGTATAAGGGATTGTATATTTTAAACAGGGTGGAGTTTTCAGAGCAAGTTTTACCATGGTGATGGCTTTTTTCGACCCCTTCAATTAAGGAACAGAGAGCCCAACATTGGAGGAGAAAATAGTATGTGACCAAGAATTTTTGGTGTTTGATTCACAATTAATCCATGGGGATCTTTTTGAAATGGACTAATTTTTTATTATGGAATGCTTTTGAAAATGGACTATATTTTAGTTTTAAAACTATTTTTTTAGGTAAATCCCAAAATTGAAAAGTGATTTATTTTAAATTACTTTTTCCAAGTGAAAAAATTTTTTAAATAGTGCTAGTTTTTTTTTTGTATGTCTTAAATTACCAATTAAATGCTACTACGGGGCCACATTTTTTTTATTAATAAAATTTTAAAATTTTAAAAATTTTTTTTAGCATTTTTTTTTTTTAAAAAAAGGCATTAAAAGTTTTCACTTTTACAATTTTTTTTTCCCTTTTGTTCAGTTTTTTTTAAGAATTTTTTAAAAAAGGTTGAAAAAAACATTTAAATTAACATTAAAGGATTTATTTTTTTACATCCAAAATAAATATTAGTTTCTATAAAACTTTTAATTTATGGTTTTTTTTTTCAATCTTTAATTTTGAAAAAAAGGATAAAATTTATTGTTTGAAAATCACAACAAAAAGTTTTAAAATTAACAAAGAAAAAAAACAAAAAAATTGTCAAGGGACATGTTTTCCCATTATTTTTAAAAAGACATCAAGGTTGTATGGTTTTTTAAAATACTACTTATAGACTTAATAATACACTGTTTAGTGAAGTTGAATTTTTTATGTCTAAATAGACCAATAAATGACAAAAATAGAATTTTTCAGAAGAATAACATTTGTAGAAGTGTGCCTGAAATGTTGAAAAAGTGCCTTTAATATATATATTTATTCGTTTTGATTTAGCTGAACACTGAACTTTTTTGTATAAAAAAAATGGTTTATGGTAAAAGGGGAAAAATTATTAACTTATTTCTAAGTCATAGTTTATTATTATTGATATGTAAAGCCATGCTTTATCCATAATTGGGCCTTTGTTTGAGGGTACATCAAGCCTTTGTTTGGTAAATTTAACCAATTTGAATGAATTTAAACCACTGTGAAAACACACTCACATGGTTCAATAGATTTTGCCTTAGAAAGCTTATAGAAATAGTCAATTTTAGGAGTTGGAAACATCAAAAAAAGAACTGAATTTGGATTTGAGGCTTCTATGTATTTGAAGGGGATTTCAAGATTTTTCTATAGAAATTTAAATAGCTTTTGTGTTTTTTATATTACCCAGCTTGGGTAAATAAGTCGGGAAAATATATTAAAATCATCATTAATTTAGTTTCACAATTTTAGTTCATCTCATTCAGTTCATCCCAAGGGGTTTAAGATCCTAGATTATTTTTGATGGTAGAAGGGTTACATATATAATTTTAATAGTAAAATGTATCCCTTGATTAAAAACAGTACGAGTAAGATAAAATTCTGAACTATTCTGTTGATTGAAATTTGACTATTTTTATCTTTTTTACTTATTAATATTAATTAAAATAGAGCTACACATTTTGGAGAAACGCGTTTTCATCACAAAATGACCACAACATTTTGCTTGTTAATATAATAATATGAAGGTAAAAAAAAAAATGCCTGAGATTTCACCATTTATGAATTCAAAAAGAATACCTTGTAATAAAGAATGACAATTCCATGTTTATCTTATATAATCAGTTAAGTTGTTTATATATCACATAATGATTCTTATTAATTTTGTTTCATGATTTTTTTTTCTCCTTCTATTGCATGTATTTAATAGCTTCCCTGAAATATTTTTTATCCTTTTCCTTGCCCTATTCTTATGATAATGAAATTAATCAAAGTTTTCCGAAACTTTTACACCAAACATTTTTTTGTATTTTGGATTTTGAAAAATATAAAAAAATTCATGAATATACAATGTTAAGAATAAATCAGGACATCATGGGACCATTATAAACCTTCAGATTGTTTCAGTTTACTATCATGTATTAATATTGCAGTAAAATCATTAGAAAATACAGCTTGGTCAATATTTTTGTTAAGAAAGATTTTTTTGTTTAGACAGGAGCAGGGATATTGTTGATATTCTGTTGAAAGTCTTAGAAGTAAAAGCTACTATTAAAAAAAGTCTTAGAAGTAAAAGCTACTAATAAAAAAAGTCTTAGAAGTAAAAGCTACTGTTAGATATCACAAGTTACTGATATAACTTAGGAAAAATTAAGCACAAGTTTCATTGGTGGATAAAATTTCTGGCAATGGAATAATAATGATGTAAAGGTTTACCATTCAAAAAATGCAAAAAAAATTATTTTCTGAATATTGTAAATTTTTTAAAGCGTGTCCCAATGACACCATCTTTTTCCATGAATAATTAAAAAATTTTTATTTTATAAAAAACTTTAATTTTGAAAAATACTTTTGGGTTTTTTTGTTAATTTTTAAGCCCAGAAAAAAGGAAAGGGGTTTTTAATGTCCATGAAATTCAAATTTTTTCCTCATTAATACAAAATGGAAAAAAAATTTTTGTTTGGGGAATTTTTTTCCCTGTGACGGCCTTAATGGAACACAAGGTTTACAAAGCACACTTTTAAAAAAACTACAAAGGGCTACAAAACACACTTAAAAAATTTATTAAATGCTTCTTTTTACTGCTTTTTTTATGAAATGAAAAATTTTTTATGAAGAAGTGGACAAAATATTTTTTTAAAGGGCAAAAAGGACAAATATTTTGGGCCATTTATCTAGTATTAGGGAAGTTTTTAAAGTCCCCGTTTAAATTTTTTATGGGATATTTTATGACAGGCAATTTCCAACCCCCAAAAAATATTAGGAACACTTCTTGGATACACACATGACTGTATAAGAACAATTTGGTTGGAACCAGGTGCACTCTATATAAAAAAAAAGATCCTTTAGACCGAAATATAGTTTGATATAATGTTATTTTTTGTGATTTAAAATTCTGGCAATGCCATTTATTTATATAGAATTTGTTAATGCTGAATTGTGTAGGAAGCTCTAAGCTTATAGATGGCTGCAACCAATTAGTACTGAGCAATGAGTGTAAAATTTCTTGCTTAAGAAAAAATGGCTTGCCCCTGATTGGATTTTAACCCACATGGCCAGAAATTCTAAGACAACTAGGCTGATGTGTTAACCACTCAGCCATGTTGCTACTTTTAAAGTTGTGTCATGTACCAATAAAACTAAAAAAAAATTGTCTTTTATAAAAGTATTCCTTTAATGAATCCTTGGTCAAAATA